GTCTATTGCTATTGCTATTCCTGTCTATTGCTATTGCTATTCCTGTCTATTGCTATTGCTATTCCTGTCTATTGCTATTGCTATTCCTGTCTATTGCTATTGCTATTCCTGTCTATTGCTCTTGCCAATACTATCTATCGCTCTTGCCGTTGCTATCTGTTGCTATTGCTGTGTATCTATTGCTTTTGCTGTCATTTCTATCACTCTTGCCGTTGCTGTCTGTTGCTATTGCCATTGCTAGAAATAGCAATAGTGACAGCGATAGCAATGTTGATAGCGATAGCACTTGTGACAGCAATGCAGCTGTAGCCAACTTGCCACCTGCCTGCAGAGAAAATTGCGCATGCCTGCAGAGAAATTCCCTGCATTAATTCCCTCCCAGTGGTGACGGGATATTCTATTACCAATCATTCACCTCCTGTTTCCGCTATGCAGTGTTAGCCCATACGTCAGCGGGATTGTCCAATGGCGCCATGACCTCTATGCATAAGTAGAGTCGCATCTGCTGCGTGGTTAAGTTATTGGCCACGAATGTAGAAAATATGTTTGTCGCAGCGTTGTGCAGCGGAAAATACGCGGCCCGACTGCCACACAGCTCAGTTAGTCAAGTTTCTTGTTGTTTGCCCGGGCATATTTTAAGTCCTCGAGCCCCAATAGCTACCCCCGAGGCTAGTGAGGCCCTGATGACTTCTCGTGTTGTGAAGCTATGGGCATCAAGGTCAATGATGTTTGATGAACAGGCTGTCCGCCGGGTGTGGGGTAGATTCGGCGATGGCATTGTACGGAGTACACTTGAAAAACTGTTTACTACCTAGGTACCTAATCATTGGCTAGATTAGGGGGCCTATCACGTTATTTTATCGGACCTGCCACGTTTTATCGGGTTTGCGGACCCGAGTATCTAGGTAATTTCATTTCGAGTCGAGTTTCTTCACTCTATTCCCCCGCTCTCTGCATCCCTCAGCATCTACCCTCGTCTCTTTCGGAATCATGGGTTCACAGCGGTCCTCCCGCCCCCCAGTGCTTTACGACCTTCCAAATGAGGTTCTTTCGCTCATTTTGGGCAATTTCTGCTTGCACTGTCGCAACCCGCAGGAGACACCACTTGCCTACTTCCCAGGCGCTCAACAAGAGCGCGAGCAGCCGTCGTGGTACTCCTTGGATCGCCAAGCGCTGTATTCCACATGCCTAGTCTCAAGGACACTCCGGGATATCGCGCAAGCTATCCTCTACCATGAGTTTGCCCCTGGATATGGCGACTCTTGGCGCTCAATGCAATACACATGGGAGTGGCGCCTCACCAATTTCCTCCGAACGGTGACACTACGCCAAGATCTGGCTGCCTTGGTCCGGAGGTTGTATCTTAGCCACCACCTCATGAACGAAATCACGAAGGACGATGTCGAACCTGCGCTTGAAGAAGCTGCACAAGCCCGTGGCATTCAGCTGTCCGACTTTCTTGCTCCTTTCCAAGATTTGTGGCCAACGACCATACGTGGGCAATATCGGCCTTCGACTGATGAGCTAGGAGCTATGCTCCTGGCGTGCCTCCCGAATCTAACTTGCCTGACCCTCTCAATGATGGTACCTCGCAATACCATTCCCATGTCGGCTCTAAGCGCTGCCGGTATTTCGAGCCTTCCTCTCGAGACTATCGACATCTGCGGAAGTGATTCAAACCTAAGACATCGTCTTGGTGGCATTCTCGAGATGTCTTTCTCCACTTTAAGAACTCTTAACCTCGAGTTATGGGATGGTGAGGATCTGAGGAGTCTGGACCTGGACTGTCTTTTGCCGAACCTGCGAAATCTTTGTATCACCAGCAGCAGACTGAGCCTGTCGGATCTTGGGTCGTTACTTTCTTGCTGCGTGGCCCTTGAAACGTTTATTTACGAGGCTGGTGAGTCTTTTATCAACCTTGCGGGATGTCTGTAGGATTGTGTGTAGACTGTATGGTGGCTAGTAGCTTTTTTCAATTTTAATCACAGTTATCCTTGTCACTGCTGACTTTGCTTTATACAGCCTTTAGCGATGACCACTCCCTACTCTCCGACGCTGTCGAGTGTCTGAGCGGGTATAAGACAACCCTGGAGACGTTACATCTCGATCTGAGTGGGCGATATTTGAGCGGGCGGCAGGATGCTCTGCGTGTGAATGGGGGATTTCTCGCCAAGCCTATTCCCAGCCTGCGGGACTTTCTTGTCCTTCGGCATGTGTTCCTCGACACAAGATTAATATACAGCAGCGTGGACGGATTGCCAGAAGATCACGATATTCTGATTCAACTCCTTCCTCCGTCTATCGTCTCGTTACGACTAGCTGACAATATGAGTTCCCGAACACTTGTCCCCTTGACGAAAGGTCTGCTCCGTCTTGCAGAGGCTGCTTCGCAAGGGCAATTCCCCAGACTGAAAAAGGTTACGTGCGATACAGGAGAACGGCTCGATGATTGCAGCGTGAGCGAGATGTTCGCTAGCGCGGGGGTAGACTTTGGATACGACACCTGGCCGTTCAGCGATGAGATACCTAGGCGGTCAATCCCCTACCGGCCAGGTTCCTCGATGGAGCCAATGTCATCGCCGGGCTCTGATGTGGCGGAGATCTTTGGAGATGAATGATAACGATTATTTCCCGATTACTCCATAACACGTATACTCCTTAGAGACATGGTGCCATCCCCAGTGTCACAAGAAATACAGCCTTACCCCTTCCCTTGTCTTTAATATGGTCTTGTGCTTAGTGAGAGGAACATTGCCTGCCTCCGACCCGAGACTAGCCAAACCGAGCGCGAGTACAATCCTGTCAAATAAGTTAAAGCACCCCCCTTCCGGCCACCCCCACCTTCCGGCCACCCAAAAATTCCACACTGCCATTTCAACCATCACCAAACAAACTTCCATTCCTTGATCAAATTAAGCCTAATTAAGCCTACCTTTTGCAATTATCTTGATTAGTTGACAATGAAGCCATATACCGAAGATGACGTCAATTAGGCCTTGCAGGCTATTGCAAATGGTCAAAGTCTACGCAAGGCTTCTCTAGAATGGAGGGTTCCAAGGACTACTCTTTAGGACTGCCTCAATGATACCACACCTTAGAAAGATGCATTTTCGAATTACCAAAGGCTCTCACCACTTCAGGAAAGTCACCTAGCTTAATAGGTCCTTACCCAGGCTGCCTTAAGACTTCCACCTTCCTACTTTCAGCTGAAGGAATTTGCAGAGCGAGTCTTGCAAGCCAAAGGAGACTCCTGGCCACTTGGAAAGCGTTAGGTTGAGGCCTTTTTACGTAGGAATCTAGCTGTTAGGACCTAGGGAAGCAAATCTATTGATTCCAAACGTGTTAATGGGGCTACAACTGATGTAATCAGACGTTGGTTTCAATATCTGAAGATTCTAGCTATCCAAGCCATCAAGCTACACAACCAGTATAATATAGACAAATCTGGGATTATGGAAGGCTGGGGATCTAATGGATTGGTCTTAGAAGGCTCTAAGAAGAGAGCAATTCGAAAGAAAAAGCCTGGGTTACGCGCTTGGATGACTTTCCTAGAGTGTATCTTAGCAACTGGTACTGCCTTGGATCCTCTAGTTATATTCAAAGGAAAATCGCTTTAAGCCTAATGGTTTCTATTCAAACTAGCTCTTTATGCTACATGGAAGTTCTCCTTTTCTGAAAATGGCTGGATTTCCAATGACGCTGCTGTTGAATGGCTCCAAAAGGTCTTCATTCTAAAGACCTAGCCAACAGACCCTTCTAAGTACCGGTTACTAGTCTTGGATGGCCATGGCAGTCACAAAACAACCGAGTTTATGTGGCTTTGCTTCTAGCACAAGATTTACCTACTTTTCTTACCTCTACACACTTTTTACGTTATGCAACCACTAGATCTTTCGGTATTTGGACCTCTCAAAACAGCTTACTGGAAAGAGCTTGGCTTTCTTGCTTAGTAGGTAGATTCTACAGTAGTAGGAAAGCGGAATTTCCTAGCCTGCTACCAAAAGGCCTGCGAGACTGCTTTGACTAGTCAGAATATCAAGAGTGGGTGGAAAGCTACGGGGTTATGGCCAGTCTCTATGACCAAACCCCTACTTAGCCTACTCTTGCTGGAAAACTCTAACAAAAAGGCCCAAGATCTGGAAAATTCGACTTCTTAGCATGCAATTGGTGGTAAACCTATCTCTCAATAGAACTTGGATATAGCTACAGTAATATAGTCAACTCCTAGAAAGGCTACAGAGCTTTGAGATCAACTACATTAATTTAGCCACCTAGAGCAACCTACTTCTACACAACGACTACTATTCTAGAAGATTCACAAGGCATTTGACGAAAAGGACATCCAGTTGGCCACTTCTTTACAGAAGGTTGAATCACTAGAGGCCTAGCTTGAAGCTGCACGGCCTAGGAAGAAGAAGAAGGTCAAATTAAGCCCAAATTCGAAGTTTGCCAACATTGAGGCAATCTGGAAGGCTCAATTGGAGGCTGGTCATATTGAGGATGGTCTAGATGAATTCAGCGAGCCTGAATTACCTAGTGAGTCAGGCAGTTGTATTGTAGTAAAATCAAGGAAGGTAGAAAGTCAGGTTGAATAAAGTAGTAGTGGTGGTGTAAGTCGGATTTTTGGGTGGCCGGAAGGTGGGGGTGGCCGGAAGGGGGGTGCTTTAACTTAATGCACAAGGGGTTGCGTCATGTGCCAGAGGGTCGATTCACTGCTGCACAGCTATTAGATGATCGTTGATTCAAGGCTCTTATAGCTACCTACGCAGTAATTACAGTCTTAAATGCTGCCCGAATCTTGCTCTTAGCCATTACCAACTTCATGAATGGACTGGTGCTGCCGCTGCTTTAACCTGTGCAGCGGGTATGCATGGTGTACTAACCATGGTGATGGGTGGGAGTCTTGTTCTACCACCCCAGTTAGAAGGTGGTGCAAAGTCAAAATTGAGACTAAAATTACAGGGATGCCTCTCTGCAACGGGTAGGTCCGGGGCAGGTAGCTGGACGGAAGCACGGCGTGGATCGGTCTCGCTGACTTACACGAGGTGGCTATTTGGCACGGGTTTCGACCGAGAGAGCGGCGCAGACGGAATCACTAGCAAATTGGGTACGGAATTGTCTCAAGGTCCCTCGCAGGCAAACCTCGATTGAAGCCTACCCGATGGTTCCCCTCGGGCAGACCACCCAGTCCTTTGACTCAGGACCTCCCCGCGCTGCCCTCGCGGGGGTCCGGCGGGGACCCCGCAGCCGGGTCAGCTGGACCCCCGTACCCCGCAGGGCCGGGCTCACTGCAGGAGCGCCCCGATAAATGGGGTGGAAGGCAGCCAGTGACCACGGCTAGGAACCACAAACCCGCCCCTGTTTGGAAGTTGGGAGAAGATGGGCATTCGGTCTGTCGCTGGATCGGCCCGCGGCCAAATGCAAGCCCGGAGCGGGGTGACTGACGTATCACCACGGTTTTACGGGTGTACACCCAATCGCAGAATTGGATGGTAATTAAGTGCCTCAATCAAGCTTTTTAGCATCAATTAGGAGCGGGGTGCACGAGGCAAGGAAGCATTCGCCAGCAGCAACTGCCGAGGAGCACTCCACGCAGTAAATTAAACGCCATGTCTCCGGCTATATTCTGGGCCATCCAGACGCGAGCTGAATTGCCAATAGACAGAGCCGGACCGCCTTATGTCACTATCAAGTTTAGACACGTACTATATCGAGAGTTGATGTTGGCAACGTATCCTCATATGGGGTATATATTGAAATGTGCTCAGAAGGAAGGTCAATCCGGGGAAATTGAGTACCCCAGACTCCATGCCCCTGCATCTGTCTGTTCCTTGGCTATGCAGGGAGAGCTTGTTTTGCGGCCAAGAGAAGGCCTTACTACATTCATCTTTGAGAGGGCCAACATGCCGTGACTCCGTGTACTTCCACCCACGTATCATTGTTGATATAATTAATCCGTACTATGACTCCATTTAAGATGTAACAAATGAAACTTCTCCTGTATATATTAGTTCGACGGCTTGGAGTGGCCAAATATTAGATCCCGAGACTACGTAGGATGGTAGCACCCATTTATAAGAGTAGGTACGCCCTAGGCTTGGCATTCTGCTTCTCCTCCTCGCCGTGCTTCTCCTGCTGCTCCCTACCTTTGAAGATCTTTACTGCTCAGACCAATTCGTCGCTGAGATGAAGTTACTCTCTGTCGCCCTTGCGCTTGTCGGGACTACCCAGGCAGGTCTTCGCTTTGGATGCTCAACCTTGACCATCCAACGCCTTGATCCCGTCGTCCAGCCTGGCAGTCTACCCTCTTCGCATCTTCATCACATCATCGGCGGAAATGCCTTCAATGCCACCATGACCGGCGATGTTGGCGCGAGGGGCACTTGCACCACCTGCCAGATGTCAGAGGACTTTTCGAACTACTGGACTGCCGTCATGTACTTCAAGCATCCTACTAACGGATCCTACCACCGTGTGCCCGTCATCAACAACGCAGCCCTTGCAGCGGGTACTACTGGTGGAATTACCATTTACTATACCCAGTACGACCTTAGCAAGGACAACATCCAGCAGCAGCCTATTAAGGCCTTCCCAGCTGTAGGTCTGTTAGGTTCTATCTTGCGAGTTGAGATGCTTAACACTCTCTAGGGCTTCCGTATGACGGTTGGCAGCCCAACTCAGACCACCAAGCCACACGCCGGCCTCAGCTATAACTGCCTGACGACCCTTCTTAATAGAGGTCCGGAGCTTTCTGACTTCCCTACCAAGCCGTGCCCAGCCGGCATCTTTGTTACTCATCACTTCCCCGCGTTAGTCAGCCTTTCATCTCAAACCTGTGACGTAAGCTGACTAATCCGTTCTAGATGCTGGGATGGCAAGAACCTCGACAGCCCCGACCATCAATCACACATGTATAACACTGTCAGCACCGTCGGCTTCATCAACGCCGGCCCATGCCCGGCAACCCATCCTGTCCGGATGCCGCAGTTAGTTTACGAAACCGTATGGGATACAACCCAGTTTAACAGCCTGTTCACCGCGGGTACCAACCCCTTCGTGTGGAGCTTCGAGGGTACCAGCGGATTCGGCACCCATGCCGACTATATGTTCGGCTGGAAGGGCGACGCGCTTCAGCGCGCCATGGACAAGTCCGAGTGCTTCTACGACGGCTGCGGCTCAATCACGACGCAGGCCATGTCCGTCGCCAATCAGTGCAAGGTCAAGCAGTTCGTTAATGAGAATATCGACGGATGTATGTCTCGAGACGCCTTAATACCAGTGACTCAGTTACTAACTTGTTATAGGGGTCGACCATCTTCCGGGTATGGAGGTGCCGGCGCATTAAGCACCGGGTTCCAGAGCGGAAACCGTGGCGGCGTTCTTCCACGGCGGAAACCATTGACCTCGTTCGTTTCAACCTTTTGGGTCCGCAGTGTTCAATTTATATGTTTTGATTAGTAGCACGGGCATCGAACATTGGACACCGGCTGGGTAGGACCTAGGATTTTTTTCTCTAGGGATTTCTCCCAGGATTCCACAGGATCTAGGATTTTAGGAGACTTAGGAAATTACTTATGCGCTCCGCTCGGTGTTCGGCCGTGAGCTCCACTCGGTGTTCGGCCGTGAGCTCCACTCGGTGTACGGCCGTGAGCTCCACTCGGTGTATGTACTCCGTGTATGTCCATTATGGCTCGTGCACGAAATATAGTAATCTGATTGGTAGAGCCCTGCCTGCGCCACAGTTCAGGCAGGCCCCATGAAATTCTGGCAGCAACCTTCAGCGCGTGTAGCTCTATAAGACAACGACGACGGCAAAGACAATAACGACGACAACGATGGGGAAGCAAGGCTGGCCAATGAGGACTTTGCAGTTGGCAGGGCAATGTTAAAGAAGCTTTATATAAGCAGAGGCAGTATGGGCAGAGGCAATACCTGGCCAGCCCTGCCAGCCTTGCCGCCCAAGCAGATTTGACCTCTGGCCCTAGCTAGCTACTTAGGGCGCTTCAATTTTCAAACTTCCTGTCGCTGGCACAAGGAGTGGTGATATTTGATGGGCCTCTGTAGGACGTTGTGGCTGAAATTCAAAACGCCCGTACACCGAGTGGAGCTCTTACTTATTGGGGTTTTGAGGCCCTGTGAACTTTTCCCCGTGTTCTTTCTGAAATGCTCTTACTTTCATTTGTGACCGTGGTCTAATTCACGGCTCCATCCGGCGACTATGAAGGATTACCCTCCAATACGGGCAGGGTGCGATGTCAAATTTGCTGATGGCTCGCTGGCCAGAGCAGCCGGCCAGACTTCTCAAACCCCATTACTACCACTTTCCACATTGGGTGAGCTAGGAAAAGCAGCATGCTGTAAGACGTTAATATGTGCAGGCTGTCTAAGTTACCTCTTCGTGCAGAGACTCGCCCGCCGGAGGAGGTCATTGAAGGCTTGCTTACTGAGCGCCTCAATATCGGTTCTCGCTTGACACGCACCCTCTGATCATTTACAGGATTTGCTTAGACATGGGAATAAGCATCAACTTGACAACACGAATTGAAGAACCAATCAAGTTTATTGGCCTGTTGCGAGGCGGTATATGTCTTGCCGACCTATGCCTCTGCCTTTTCGGTGATTGACTGGATCGTCGACGTCGTTTAGATGCCTCGGATGATGAAGCCGGCCAGTCCCTGTATTCGGGCTGTGTCTGCCTGTAGATCAATTTGACAACAGTGTTGCTAAGATCTCACCTAAGCTCTTATTGCATTGCGCTTGTAGAATGCATATCCGGCTTGTGCCTGGATGGCTTCTCTCGTCGACCGACTCGACTCAGGATCCAACAAACGTAACTGGGGCCGACGGCGGTGAGTGTCGCGGTCGTGACTATGTATAAAAGGTAGGCCATCTGCTCGTCTCTGGTTTCTAAATAGCAACAACATCTCAACCCTATAACTCAACCCGCATACCATTATTAAAGATACAATTGTCAACATGAAGCAATTCATCCCTACTCTCCTCTTTGCCCTTCCGGCACTCGCTACTCCGGCCCCAGCCCCGGACACGGCGGCCGATGATCCCCAGTCCACCATCCTGCTGTGCGCCGACACAAACCATGGTGGTAGCTGCATCAACTGGTCTCAGAAGAGCCACTGCTGTGAGTATTCCAGGTTCAATGACGCAAATGCCTGCATGATGAAACTGACGATGGCCAAACCAGGGGATTTCCAGGACCCGGCTCTGAACCCTTTCAACGACCAGGTCTCGTCGGCTTACCCGGCAACCCCGAATATTGCATGGGTTCTGCACGCGTAAGTAATCATATGTGCTGAGATGTAATGGGCCATGCTGTGAACACACGCTGACACAGAACCATACCAGGGACTACAACTGCGGAGGCGCTCAGGTCACCATCACCGCCCCGGGGGCCGACGACCTGAACAGCCTCGGTTTCAACGACAAGGTCAGCGCGCTCTCGTGGCACGTCGCCTAAACGGATAGTGAGTGCTGCAGCAGTACCCCTGGCCCTAGCATGCATGGCTGAGAATGGGTAGCGGCCGCGAGTGCGTTCCGACGTCACTGTGTCGCCTCTTTTTAGAATGACACCGGTATTCTACGGCCAGAGAAGACGGACGGGATGGGACGAGGTGTGAAATGGACAGGGGTGAGAACGGTGAGGGACTATGGTGAATATGTGCTGTATCATACATACTCTCTGGAAGTCGATGGACATTGCAACACTTTCCTCCAGTCACTCATGATCTAGAATTGATCAACATCTACGTCTTGCCGCAATTATAATTCAAGCTAGGCACTCATTAGAAATCCCGTCGGGATGAAGGAGAAAGTGCAGTTGAGTCTAACGGCTGGTATTTTGGGTTTGAATGGCTGCCGGTATGGCAAACTAGCCCACAGAAGCTCAGGAACTGATCCGTCACATGTTTGTCACAAGTTACAATAACTCCAGCACGCCCGGCCCCGCGCTCGGTATGCAGATTCCCTGTTCTTCACCACCCGGAAAATCACCACGAGGTATGCCCGCCATCGATGATGATATTGCTCCCCGTCATGAAGCTGCTCGCGTTGCTGAGCAGGTACAGCGCGGCGCCCTTGAACTCGCTCGGCTGCGCCAGACGACCCATCATGTTCTCGGCCTCCCACTTCGCCTTGAGCCCGGGGACCTCCTCGAAGTTCTTGGCCACCATGGGCGTGATGATGTGCCCGGGACTGATGCAGTTGACGCGGATCCCGCCCGTGCCGTCCTGCCGGATGGGGCTCCACTCCATGGCCAGGTTGCGCGCCAGCTGTATGACGGCGGCCTTTGACGAGTTGTACACGGGCGACAACAGGCCCTTGTTGGCCACCTTTCCGGACATGCTGGCGATGAAGCAGATGCTGCCCCTCGTCTTGTACCGGAACATCTGCCGCGCCGCCGACGTCGCCGTCATCAGCACCCCCGTGTAGTTGACCGCCATCATGCGCGCCACGTCCTCCTCGCGGTAGTCCATCGCCGGCGTGATCTGCTGCACCCCCGCCGCAGCGATCACGCCGTCGAGCCGCCCGTGCTCCGCCGCCACCCGCGCGATGACCTGGTCGAGGTGTTCCGTGTCCGCCACGTCCTGCTGCAGGTAGTGCAGCGACCCGCCCCACTCGGGCGCGACCCGCCGCCGCGCCTCCTCCCAGCACTCGTCCTCGGGCCGCGCCGCCCGGTCGAGGCAGTACGTCTTGCCGCCGGCCTCGACGAGCGCCTCGGCCAGCGCGAGACCGAGACCCCGCGCGCCCCCCGTCACGACGAACACCCGCCCCGCCAGGTCGAAGTCGGCGAACCGCTTGCGCCCCACGTTGACGTCTCCGCGGGGCGCCAGCTCGTCGGCCGGGTTGTCGCGCGGGTTGGGGTTCATCGGCTTGCGGGGCGTGGCGGCGGGTGCGGCCTGCTGCGTGGCGGGCCGCGATGGCGGGGGCGAGGGTGTTTTTGGCGACGCATGGAGGGCGAGGGATGTGGTGGAGCTGAAGCCGCGGTGGTGGAGTTGGTGGTGGGTTTGCGCATAGATGCGGGCGATGCTTGGGCGGAGAGACATCGCTAGGTGACTCTTATTCCAGTAACAGTGCGGCGAGGATGCGAATGCTGCGAAATCATGCAGAGGATGGATAGACAGGTAGGCTGGGAGTCTGTCCCCCTTTGTCCCTTGAAGATAGCCCTTGGTCTACTATGCAAGCAAGGAAATAATTACAGGCAAATTCGAGACGCTTATATGTTATATCTTCCATGGTCTTCGCTGTCGTCATCCTTGCAGAGAGGTGGGGCGGCCCTGGAAAATGGAAGCTTTCGAATTGCTAGAATAGGCATCCGTTGGCTGGAGGGAACCCGCCCCATTGGCTGCGTCGTCACGATCGACGCTGGGGGCTGGATGTGACGTACAAGATCCAGCAAGAGCCATGGTTTCTCCAAGGCACCGCCGAACCCAGCTCTGAGGATCCGCTGGGTCCCCTGTTGTGTGGATTTTTATTTTATTTTTACTTTCAGAGCTCCATAGGTCAACAGGGAATTGCAGGTACAGTACCTGCCTCTGCAGACGGGAATCTCCAACCGGCCCGCTTGGGCCCACATGCGGCGAAACAGGTTTGTTAATCTAATCGTTGAGTAATTACATAACTCGGCACTGACGTCGCACCAATACCAGCGTCTGGGCAGGCCCAAGGACAGGCGTCGACTGGCGCGGGGCTTTTTGGGAGTTTTCCGGCACATCATATGACCACGGGGACGACATCTAGGTGGTCGAACGGACGGATCAGGTAGTTCGAGCCGATGGGTGGGATGATGTCCGCCAGCATGGGCCCGTAGGCGTAATTACAGCTTCATCAAAAGATCGGCGCGAAGGGTTGTTCGAGTCAACACAGTTAGTAGATATGATTCTCAGAAAGGCCTTGCTTGATTAACATCGATGCAGACATCGGGGAAGAACGCCCAAATACCTCATTAAAGAATGCGATACCTCCTGCCTCGCTGCGTGCGGAAACGATGAGAGCAGAGAGGCGTACGCGAGGCTTGGCTTCGAACCAGTTCTCCGCGTAACCGAGACGAGATGCTATAAGACAATAAAGAAGCGAGATGGCAATACTTGGTGTTACGATCCCTTGCTTGACTCGGGTTGAGATGCTGCCCAAAAGGGATCTGGTGCGAGAAGGTTGCTGCGAAGATGCTCGAAAGGAAACTGCCAACGACCGCGTGAAGACTTCTTCGCGCCGGCAGTCTCTCCGCAACCTTCGTTTTCCCACAGGACCGGGCAGTTATTAGGGACAAAAACGATGACGATACTCGTCTTTAAAATGGATATGGGGGGTGGGGGCCATTAATTTATCTCACGTGTCAAGGGATGGAATCTCCACGCTACTTCGTATATGTCCCTGCAGCTACCCCGCGCCAGTCCGCATTAGTATTAGCTTTTCTACATCAGCCTCCCCACGATCCAATCAGAGTATCCCCTCTGCTCCATTGGAATTTCCCCCCTTAAAATAAAACTTTGAATACGTGGACCAGATCGTGGCGAAGTGTCGTATTGATTTTATTGACGTGTTTCTTCCCAGATCCCCTCTCTCTCATTACCTCTCCTTTCCTATCCTCCCCTCCCCCAATTGTGTCACGTCAGCGGCTTAATGTCGTGGCTGTCGTCAACATGCGGCTCCGCCTAAAGACGGTCTCCATCGCCCTCCTGGTGCTTCTCCTCTCCGTGGCCCTGCTCGTCTGCGCCGTCACGCGAATCGTCAGCTTCGTCAACCTTTTCTTCGAGCACTCAGGCATCGCCCTCACCCAGGCCGAGGTCGCGCGCGCCCACAATGCCAGCGATCCAGACCCACGCCCCCAGGTGATCCCCAAAATCACCCACCAAGTCTTCCACAACTGGCGAGACCCCGGCAATGACACGCTCCCCGTCGATTGGATTGCGGCGCGCCAGACATGCATCGATCGGAACCCCGACTGGAATCACATGGTGCGTTAGCAAACCCTCTCGCATCCTCCCAATCATGGTGATGTGGCAATGCGGCTAACATTGTCACTTGTAGCTCTGGACGGAGAAGGCATCGCGGGATCTCATTGCGACCGAGTATCCCTGGTTTCTCAACACGTACGATGGCTATCGCTTCCCTGTGCAGCGAGTGGACGCAATTCGATATTTCCTCATTCTCCACTACGGCGGCATCTACATTGACCTCGATCATGTGTGTTACCTCCTTCCCTTCTATTTTCCCGTCCCCTTTCCCCGCAAATCCCTCCCTGGCTTTGCCTTTCTCTGTCCAGGTGTGCTGACAGCCTCTCTTTCTAGGCATGTCCGACGAGCCTCGAGCCACTCCTCTACTACCCAGCCTGGATCGCCGACAGCGGCCGAGACACACTGAACAACAACATACTCGCCGGGCGACCGAACCATCCTTTCTGGAGCCTGCTCGCACAGTCCCTCCGGGCGTACGACTACAACTACGTCTTCCCCTACATAACCATCAGCTACGCCAGCGGCCAGTGGTTCGAGACGGACATCTGGGAGAAGTACCACGCCATGCTCCCGGACCCCGACAAGGCCGGGTCCCAGGAGAACAGGCTGTACCGCCTCATCATGGAGAACGAGAACACGGACGGGTGGATATTCTTCACGCAGGAGCGCGGCGGCACGTGGAAGAACTGGGACAACCAGCTGTTCCTCTGGATCGGCGACAATCTAGCCCTGCTGGCGCTGGGGGTCTGCGTCATCCTCGGGCTCGCCACCTGGCTCGCCGTCCGGGCCGTGCGGCGGATGCGGCGCCGGACCCGGGGATATATACCCCTCGAGGGGCGGCCGGATAAAGACGACGACGACTTCGCGTAACGGGGGATGGCGGGGGGTTTCGAGACCGGGGTATCGGATTGTCGCACACGCGGACCTTTTTACTACTTTTCCCCATTTCCCCGTAATTTTGGGCATTTTCCGGCGTTAGATGGGGAGGGCTCGCAAGATAAATAGAGCAATAATGAGGCGGGAGAACATATGGGCCAGGCATTATATCAGGGGGGAGGCAACTCGGATATCCAGCCTGGCATTAGAACATAGATTTTCTTCTGTGAGATGTCTTAATAGATAGCATGTACCAATAAAAAGTAACTATTACAAATAACAGGATCGATTCAGTCGATGGTCCTGCATGCAATACGTAGGCTAGTAAACCCAATGTTGCCCATTAATGGGCATAATGAAACAAGGAAAGGGGGGGAAGGGCCCATTGGTGGGGGGGGAGTTAAAAAAAAAAAAAAAAAAAACGTACAACACCAGGGATTCGCTGGTCGTCACCGACCCAACTACTAGTCTGGCCCTCACTGGCTTATCTATGGGAGAGCGGACGGGATCCCGAGTTCTCCAGTGGGTATGGTCGTACGTGCTAGATCACTCCCTTAGTTTGCTATTTATGCAGCAGCCATGACTGAGTCCTCCGAGTCAGGTGTGTTGCCAAGGATTGCCTGCCCCTGGGGAAAAGGGGCTTTGAGCCATTCTTCAACTACGGCCTAGTATTATGTGTAGCACGGATTGCAAAGGAGGTGATATGCTAAGTTAGAGATGTCAATGGGAAGTTAGTTGAGGATTAAATCAAAATGTTGATGCCTTAAGAACGCTATTTCGAGAAAACTCAGTAAAAGTCCTACTCATACTAGCCAAAGTAATACGGAAACCTGATGGACGGACTACCGATCTTCAAAGTTGGCACGCTCTCTATTGCACAGTAGCAGTAAAGTAAAAATCCTGTCGCCTTTTCCGCAGTGATCGTCGAACGGGGTGTCGGCGGGTCTATAAGACCAAGGAAGATGGCGCCCTCACAACGGCTTTGAACGGTTAAAATCGCGTAGAGTAGGCAGTTCTGCGGGTCCATGACTTACATTACAGGGATTTCTGGATGCTTTCGTCTTGGCAGCAATGGAACATAAGCCGTTGTTGTCGTCGGAATCATGAATCAACGACGCCCCTTCGATCTCTTGGCTGTATTTGACGGCTCCCCTCTCGATTGACTTCCTACATTCTTAGATTTTGCATGCCTAGTGTCGGACTTGGTATCAGGTGTAGCATATTCTGTGGCGTTGTCGTGCCGCTCCCTCTCTTGACGGGGATCGTCGTGCCATATCTTCTCGGTATCGGGGGCCAATGTCGTCGTTGGTGATTGGACCTCTGGTTGTGAGTAGGGCGGAGCTTCGTATTGACTCGGGCCATCGCCAGAGTCGCCTTGGTAGTCCCTCTCCTCTGTTACAGCAGGTGGATACGCAAGAGGCGGCGCCGCTCCCCATTCGTACCCGTCAGCGGCTTCCTGCTGTCCAGCCACAACAACCGGAACTCCGAAATCCTGAGACGAAGACGCGATCCCTGGTGTTTCCTCATGTCCGGTTGGAAAGGTGGCATACCGGTATTCCGCCAGGTTATATGTTGCCACCTGCTCCCCGCTGCCACCACCTTGGGCGTAGTAATGAGACGAGTTATCAGCAGTTGACTCTTCGTTGGATTTGGGCGAGGGCTGGAATGTCTGGTTTCTGGATTGTTTGGTCCCATGCGCTTTGACAGTGTTGGTCCGCCGGGCTCTACCGTTCTTCCGCGAGGAGCTAACGCCGAACAGAACCACTTCCATCTCGCTTATCTTAGCATCTAAAGATGCGAGGGTTTTCCGGCAGACTCTCTCGCCCGGGGTGAGACATTGAGCCAATTCTATTAGCCTTCGGGCCAGATCCCTTTGCAGTCCCTCTCCATTTTTGTCATTCCTCTCGTCCTCCGTCTCATCATCCAAATCGGAAGCATTGTAAAGACACTCCTCGCCAGGTGCCTCGAGGTATAGGAGGAAGTTGTCCACGGTGAAATTTTCGTCCTCGACACCGCAATCTGGAAAGGCATGCTGGATGTATTGGACAGCCTTTGCCAGGCCCAGCCGATAAAAGCTCCGGTGTTTCCGATAGTCCTGACGCAACAACACGACGACGGCAATGGTGGAGGCAAGCGGGAAGTCGACATCCCCCAGTGCGTCGACAATGGCGCCAAATTTCTTGCCGAGCAGCTTCTTCCCGGCCTTCTTGTCCGCAAATTTGAAGCAGCCCTCAGAAGTCAGGAGATGGATCAAAGAAGAGATGACGAACTCGTCAGCGTCGGTCTCACGGGTCTTACGCGAAGAGGTAACCTTCTCAATGCTGACCATGGCCAAGTTTGAGGCCGGAATTGAGCTTGGGGCGTCGATGGCTAAATCGGATACGACCGGAGCCATAGGTTCTTGTGACGGACCAAAGCTGTCGTGCTCTGATGTTTCCTGATATCGGCTTCCATATATAGCGTCCGTAGTGCTAGGGGCCTCGTATGGCATTGCATCGTTGTCGTCCACACCCCCTCCGGTGTGGAGTTGCTCTTCGACGGATTGAGGTGCGGTTCTGGACACTGTAGGTGATAACTGACCGTACTTGACGTTCGCTTCAGTGTACTGGGAAAGAGTTTGGCCCCAGAAGGGATCCTCTTCGTCAGCATTTATATCCCTATTTTCGAAATGTGGAATTCCGTTGCTCTTGAAGGCAGCACCTCTGCGTGGTTCTTCTCCCTTGCTAGATCCAGCACCTCGCTTGCTCCCCAACATCTCAGGGCTAGAAGGTGATGAATATGTCTCCTCCAAGCCTGGGCCGGCGGTATGTGGCTGGTCAAAGAATGGATTTCCCGAAGGATCTGGATACGGTACATCGGAACGCCGTCGAGCGGGGTTGGGGAGCTCTGTGGGTCCTTCCGCAGACCTCGAGTTCGCGTATTTCCCTTTATCACCACCAGCCCGGGGTTCGCTTTGGCGTTTCGAGTGCTTGCTTCGAGAACCACCCTCTTTCGGCTGTGTCTTGGAATGTTTGCTCGGTGGGTTTGTCGAATCCTGGAGGAAGGGGTCATCCAGACCAGGATTGGAAGATTGTTCGATGAAGAAACTGGTCCATTTTGAGGCTATGTTGTAATGGATTCCCAGTGCCTCCCCTTCCGCCCTGGTCAGATCTTCTTCCTCGATGGAATATCTGGGAGGTGCAAAAAGGTGTCCCTGAATCCAACTTTCGCGCCTCTCGAGATCACCTAGGAGTGCTCGTGCTGCGAGCTTGTGTATGAGAGTTCCAGGATTTAAGAGGGCCTGAACCCTGACATCAATCATCTCTTGTTTGCCGCGGCTATCGTTCCTGACCACCTGGACCCACTGCGGGAGGGAATGTCTCCATTCGCTGGTATTGAGGAGCAGAAGAATGCGATTATGGACAAATGGTGACATCTCCATGGTGTTGAACGGAGATTTGAGCAACGTCGGCGATTGAAGGAAGTCGGAACCTACATGTACTTAGTTAGTAATGCAAATTTAGGAGGGAGAGGGAAAGGATAAGAAGCAACATGAAAAGCAAAGACCAAGCGCACCTTGACTCTTCTCGACCCCATCAAAATAAATGTCCACAGAGCTCGCATGATCCTTCAAAGCTTTGTCAAGCATGGTCACCAAGCTTCTGGTCAGGTCGCCTCCCCCTGCGGCTTCCACCACTTGGGAGTATCCCCCACCGGCTCGCGCGATGTTCTCGACAAGGGCGTGCGAGACCTCATTTCCGATGCCGAGGGCGAAAAATCGCACTCCCCCGTTCGTTGCTTGCTTGGTGTCGCGGACAAAGTTGGTGGTGTCATCGAGAGCCCAATACTCTCCGTCGGTCAGCACGATCACATCAGTCAGAGTCGTAGCATCTCGCGCGTCGACCACGGCTCTCAGTGCAGGAAGCAACTCAGTCCCCCCCATGTCAGATCTGAACTTGTTTGCAACATATTTCTCGGCCGCGGCAAGGTTCTGCGCATTGTACTCCCCCGAACCACGCCACATGGAAGTGTACTTCGAGCCGAAGCACCAGATGTTGAACAACTTGCCCTCGGGAATACCCCTTAAGAAAAACATCATGGCCTTCTTCAGTGCCCCAATCTTGTTCTCCATGGAGCCGGACCTGTCAGCGAGGAAGAGAATCTCGCTGCGGCCTGGTACATTGGTCGTGGAAGTGGGAGGAATCGAAATCATCATGGCCCTTTGATCGGGCCACTCCGGGTGGTACTCGACCCATGCAGATGGCTGCTCGCGCTCGATGGGCCGCGACATGTTCAGAACGAAGTCTCCACCTAGAGAATCGGTGACCCCCAATCTCACCAGCGTTCCTGTCTCCATCCACTGCCCTCCGCTGTTGACTTCCCAATATGGCTCTTGGGTTATCTGGTGGCCTTTGCAACGAGCCTGTATTGCAAGCAGCGGTTCCCGTGAGATGACAATAGCCTCGATTGTTATTCCCAAGGGCTCGGTGATGTTTGCGTGCCTCATTTCTGGAGGTGGTGTGCCATACCGCGGGGCGATGGTGGTGGGAATCGTCAGCGTCACCAGAGTCACGTCGTCGTCCTCACGTAGCTGGCGTTGCAACAAGCACGTGAAAGTTATTTCCACCCTAAGCCTCGCCTTGGCAGGGATGTTGCCCAGAGAAGAGGTGAAGATCTCCGATGTGTTGAGTTCTCCAAGCGCTGCTGTTGTCTTGGCTCTGTCGAAGTTGGCTCTTGCTTCCGCTCGGGGCCGAACCTTGGCAACGAGCAGTTTGTTTGAGTTTCTCTTGCCAAATTGGCAGGAGAAATCAGTGACAGAGCATCCATTTGGTAGCGGAAAGGTATAAGCAGCCTGGGCGATGTTGTCTTTGGTGTGGTTCCAGAACAATTGAGTTGCCGTAAAAATTCCAATGTCGTCGACGACTCGGGCTTGGATGTTGACCCAGAGCGGCCGCAGGCAATCCTTTTGCCTGTTCCAGGTGATGCCTGCTTTAGGCGTCATATTGGCCTCAGTACTTGAATCGCGAAATAACCTAAGGGCGGACTTTAGTGTGCTGAAATTCGGCTACGACAACGGAACGACCGTCTAAAGGACCTCTTGACGACCATGGTCATACATGATTTTGGTTCTCGTCCTAGTTTTGAATTGTCCAGTAAATGCATGGCCATAAGGTAGGGGGGGGGTGGGTGAGGAGCTCGTCTCGTGGCTGAACATAATTCGTCATCCTCGTTGGCAGGTTATCCGGTGAGGTGACGAATGAACACCAGAGAGACTAGACCAGCTGCTGCTAATATGTCAAAGGGACCAATTGAATAGCTGGGCTGAGTAAGCTCCAGGTTCAAGGCTCGAATATAGATGACTGACGTGTCAAGGGATGGGTGGTGAGGATGACCATCGACCGAGTCTCGCCTTCTTCAGCTCACCAGGTGTGAGAGCCTTGTTTCGAATAGCCCGATTATTGGACCGATCCATCGATAACGTTTACTAGTTGATATTTATAATTGATCGGCAGGTAGAGAGTCAAAGAACCTGAGCCTTGCAATAGGATGGTGTGGCAAGTATGCCTAGCTGCAGAGCCTTATGCAGCCCCCCAAGCTGGCTGGGGAGATCCCCCCGCGCCCCCCTCCCAAAGAAGGGAAAAAAAAAATGAAAACCTTAATTGCCGAGGAGCAGGCAAGAACCCGCTATGGCAACCAGTCCTCTCACCAAGCTGACCCTTGAATTACCGAGACGCCATGTCCAGTGCGGAAGTTGAAAAGGGGCGAAAAGTCATGGCACGTGCGTGATCACGTGGGGTTGTGAGGAGGCGTCTCCCCTGTACCTATGTTGGGGACTGGCAGAGCGGAGAGGAGACTCTTCGTGCCTTCAAATATCTTCTAATATAAGGTCTAGCACTACCAACACTTTTCTTACAGATGGCTGACCGGCCGTCCCAGCTGATCAGCTGGTCTTAATCATGTTCATTATGTTGGTTTTGTTGCTTCATACAGGACGAAGTCCAGAACTTCGCCCTGTCTCAATGTCACAAATATCTTCCATCGCATACCATTTTCCCCATAAAGTACGGCAAGTATCGGTCATCTGACAACCTGCTAACGACTTAGGAGAGCACAGCGCTAGATCAGCCCGTATTCAATTCGAGAATCATATCAGCTCCCTCGGGCCGACGCGGCCACACCGTCAGCTCATTAAGCTCGATGTCCTTGGCATCGACATGCCCCGACAATTTCTCGAGAAGGAGCCTACCGTCTCGAAATCAATCCTATTGGACATGATGGCGCAATGCCCCTTTGCAGACCAGGGGGGATTCGGTTATAATGAAGGACTGGGTGTAATTATATGAACCGCTTGGGCTATTTCATATTTTGCCTCTTCTCTTGCACTATGAATTAAATAGTTCGGCAATGTCGTGTAACCCTTAGAAATGATACCACCCACCCTCGAGATTGTTCTGCGTGGTAATGGCGAAACGGGGGGGAGCTGGCAGCCTGGTTGTGGTGACTGAAGTTGTGACATTATTGGCCGGCTGGAACCTCTGTTGGTTGTGCGTAATATCCTCGATGCAGGACCCAGGTAGGTTGTAATTCACTGCCACGGCGACTCCGTCAAGGTCAAGTTGGTCAGGGCCCCCAGCCCCCCCAAACTCCCGTCATGGAGCGCACAGTCAAGAATCATGGTTTCTTGACCTCCCCTCTAAATTCTTCGGTCGTTGGTATTCTTTCATTTCAGATCAGTCAATCCTCCACGCATTAAACACCAATGTCGACTCTTCTGGTCCGACACAAAACAAAGGAGGACTGTTGGTCCTTTCGCAGCAATGCAGATCTCCGGGAATTTCTCTCCATCAAGAAAACGTGTCTCGGCCTACAGTTCCAGAAAAGGGAATGCCAGAGAGTACTCAACAAATCGAGTCGGAGGCATATTGAGAACCACACAGCGCGCCTTCTCGGGGCCGGTTTCCCTTCTGACACGGCTGACTTATGTCTGTGGCACCTGGCGGTACACAGCATCTGCGGCATCGAGAGGCACGACTTCGTCGTATCCCATGACGGCGTCCGACAGACGCTACACGCGCATCTCTACAACAAATGGCACAAATTACTCTGGGCCGAATACCTGAAGGCAAACGGAATACTCCTCCAAAGGGCTCCTCCACCATTGCATTGTCCGGGGGATTGGAAAAGTGCTCTGCCACCGCAACGTGGACTCGAGACAGTTCAAAGGAACGCCCGTCCATCACACAACGGCGAGGTTGAACCGGTGCGTCCCGGTCCACCCAAACGGTCTTGGACTTTTACGTCAGCCGATTCCCGGATGAGCATATTCTTGAAGCGAGTGCTTCCTTTGCAACGAGAATCCAAACCTCATCGGCCCGGACTGGAGAGGCGGGACGAAGATTTTCACATCACCACCCTCGACTCTCTCCCCTCGGACAAACCCAGGCGGTGGGGGACAGCACAAGACGATGGCCGGAACGACAAGTCCAGTCCAGATGACCTTCGATCCAACTTGAACGACGAGGCCAGTGCGGGAATGGCACAGTTAGCAAGCACGCCATTTCGAAGACCGAAAGAAGGCGACCACGATGACATATTCATCGACCAAGGCCATGCGGCTAACGAATTGGAGAGGACGCCACTGTCTGTCGGCTCGTCGTTGGCGGCGACAGTATTTACCCCAACCGGACGGAGTAGGGATGCCACTCCGCTTTCAGAAGTTAGCTCGAACTCCAGTGACCAACCTCAGCGAAGGCTCGGAGCTTCGGAAACGGGAAGCCCCTTGCAAAGGAAACAAGCACGCAAACAGCTGGCCGCTCGAGGTGAGCATTCACTCGCCTGTCTGGTCTCAGTACCGATCCTAGAGACTGACATGCCGAGTCAAGTATTAGACAGTTATGAAGCTCGTGCGACGACTTATGCGGACTCAGACTCTCTAGGACTAGATGCAAGTACTGCAGACCAAGCTTACAAAACCGACCCGGAGCCGGCACATTTCAACGGGGTGGTCCTATACTGCGGCCCCGACGAGGATTTGCAGAAGTTCATCCGCAAGCTGAGTTCCAAGACACAAGTTGACTTTATGTTCGCCGATGCTGGGGACGACGCTGGAAGCGCACAAGGGACTGTCCAGGCCCACGATTTCTTCCGGCTAAGCATGTCGGCGCGAGAGGCCCTAGAGGCCTTGCTCGACAAGCTAGAAAAGCCGATCTACCACAACAGTTCCCGCGGAGGCTGCTATATTTACGGTTACACTCTACCGGGTACCGCGGGCTACATAAAGATTGGAGTTTCGGTAGACGAGCAGAAACGCCTCCAGGCTTGGGCAAGCTGCTGCGAACAGACACCCATCAAGGTCTTCAAGGCATATATGCCTTACGCGGCAGGTTTGGTCGAAAAGATGGTCCATTACCATCTCCATGAGTTTCGTCGCCAGTTCGTGTGCGGAAGTAAAACACACAATGAGTGGTTTAAACTCCCCCTGGAACGCTCTCTCCAAGCTCTGACTCAGGTGATGAGGTTCAGTCGCTCTTCGCCTTTGACTTCCGACGGCCGGCTACGGCCCTTTTGGCGGAAAGAAGTAAGAGAGGCACAAAATCGGCGTCACTCCGGGAAATACTCCATCGGCCAGTGGGTTGAGAGATTGGAGACTGCGCTGGAGTTGGAAGCGAATCCGCAGAGGGAGAAGGATTGTGTTCTCGCTGAGATTAGACTTGCCGTGCGGGTTAAAGATGATGGCGAGATTAGCAGAATAGAGATCCTAAGTCAGCAGGAAATGGAGGAGAGACAAGTTGCTTCGGTTGATATCTCGGGAAACTTTCTTGTTGGTGGAGGGGCTAATAGTTAATAATGGAGTTCCGGTCGGCATGCACAGCTTAAAGCAAGGGTCTAACTATGGAAATGAAATTTAATACAGTTTGTTGTGCTTATATACTGATTTAAGGCACGAATCTCCAATCCTCGTTGTGGTAGCAAGAAAGGGGCGAGAGGAAGGGAGAGAGAGAGGGAGAGAGAAGAACCCCCAAATAATTAAGGGAGAGAGAAGGAAAATATCTACAACACCATGGATTCGCTGGTCGTCACAAGACCTAACTACTGATCTGGTTCCTCAAAAGAACCCTCGAGAAACTGGCCGCTCAAGCGCCTGGTCTTCTATAATCCAACTCTCTTACCCTCCGCCACACCTCCCGCACGAGCCTCTCCTGGCCTTGCCGTCCTGTCTCGGTTGATGATGGTCCGGCCGGCCTTCGCCAGACGTATGTCAGCGGTTGATCGCAGAAAAATGAGAGGCAGATATTGGCGCCGTGGGCAGGAAGAGGTTCATTCTCCAAACTCACCTTATTGCGAGATATAACCTGCTTCCAAGGCGGACATCTTGAATCTCGGCGGTGGACGGGTCCTCTGGGGGGTTCGCAGACGTCACCAGGCCACCGGCCTCCTGCAGAATAGCTATTCCCGCCGCGACGTCCCTGCAAGGTCTATCAGCATGGCTCAGAGCAGATTGGAGCAGAGAGGGTCGTTCGTCCATACCACTCCCAGCAACCGCCCTCCCACCATATATCGAAAGACCCCATGGCCGTGTAAGCGAGGTCTAATGTCGCGCTAGGTTGGGGGTTCAACTCGTAAGCGCAAGCCATATCCAGCGGTTCCGGGCGCGGCGACAAACCTTCCCAAACTGCGCATCCCATGGACCATCCCCCCCTTGCCCTGCCGACCCCCAATCTCGGCGGCCATGTTGACGAAGCTCTCGACCTTGCGGTACATGTTACCGTCAGGCCTGTCTTGCCTGTCCTTCCCCCACTCGCACGCGAAGATGCAGCCGGAGGGAGCCTCCTCGGGGATCGGGGGCACGGGGTAGCGGATGAGGGGCAGGCGCTGGTTGTCGTTCAGCCAGGCGCCCCGGCCCCGGCAGGACGTAAAGAGCTGGTTGAGGAAGGGGGCGTAGATGACGCCGATCACGGGCCGGCCGCCCAGGATGAAGGCGATTGAGACGCAGAACATGGGGAACAGGTGGGTGTAGTTGACGGTGCCGTCTAGGGGGTCGACGCACCACGTCGGGTCCGTCTCGCCAATGAGGTAGTCGCGCGAGTCACCTTTCGAGTAGGTCTCCTCGCCGATAAACCTTTTTGGGGGGGGGCGCGGGGAGGCCACGATGATCAGTTTGGAGCACTTACTCGGATCAGGCTCAAGACGAGAAAGGGTCGACTTACTTGTGGTCGGGATATTTCAGGGAGATGGAACGATGGATGAAGGCCTCCACGTCTAACGGGTGTATCCCCGAGTCAGCGAGGCGCCGCAAGAGATGAAGGACGGTTACAATCCGGCGGAGGCGGAAGCACCTAAGCCGGGACGATGCGACGCGGGCTTACCTTCGTCTGTCTTGGTGACAATATCTACAGCGCTGTCCTTCTCTGTAAATGCCTGGCCGCTCTGTCCTGCGTCTCCGAGCCTTGCCTTAGCGGCATCCATGAGCATGTTTCCGGCATCCTTGCCCAGCTGCACAGCGAAGGCGTAGACCTCGCCCAGCTGCTCGTCAGTCATTCCAGCCATGACTTCTGCTGTTTGTCACGAGCTAAGATTTATGTCTGCCTGGTTCCCACAGATAATGACGAAGTGATAGCAGGTTCTTGGGAACTGGTAAAATGCCCGATTACTCATTTGCAGGAACTTCAAGTTGGGGCAGAAGTGACCGAAGGCGGGGCGGAATCAAGCTGCATCGGCCGCCAGAAACCGACGCCACTCTGGCATGGGTGCTGAACAATACCCATAGGCGCTACCACCCAGTTCATTGTTAGTGGTGTCTTGGGGCAGATTCCCCGCAATTCCAGCGTGCGCTCGTCGGTCGAAGAAGAGCTCGGGTCGATCTTATTATCTGTGTAAGCCGCCCTTTTTCCCCACTCCACCCACACCCATGATCCACTGCAAATCCGCGCTGGCAGAGCCTTTATCCGGCCCCAAGCATTGGCGCATTCATCCCACCCACCATCTGCAGAAACGCTGGTCGTCACACAACCTTCTGCCTTATTGCTTAGCCGCCCCTGTATGAAGGGCAGGGACTCTGCTTTACGTTTTACAGGCCCTTGTAGGCAGCCACGCCATAACGGGTTACGTGGACGACGTCGGCTTTGGCGCTGCTGGTCTTCAGAAGGGCTCCAAAAGTTCAAAGTTCCAAAGTTCAAACGTAGCGAGGGACCATACCTCTCTGCTGATTCCATTCACCCATTCACCCATCCGTCAATTCGTCATCTAGGCATAGCCCAGGCTGTAAATTTCCAAGCCAAGCTCCACTCGCCGCAGCCATGCCCCGCCGCATCCTCCTCATCAACGGGCCCAACCTGAACCTCCTCGGCACCAGGGAGCCCCACATATACGGCTCAACCACCCTCGCCGACGTCGAGGCGCAGGCGCGGAAGCAGGCCGACGACCTGGGATTCCAGCTCGAGACCTTCCAGTCGAACCACGACGGCGCCATCGTCGACCGCATCCAGGCGGCCGCCGGCCTGGGGCCGGACGCGGGCGCGGCCAGCGGGGACAGGGTCTCCGCCATCATCATCAACCCGGGAGGCCTGACGCACACGAGCGTCGTGGTCCGCGACGCCCTGCTCGGCGTCGCCATCCCCTTCGTCGAGGTGCACGTGTCCAACATCCACGCCCGGGAGCCCTGGAGGCACCACAGCTACTTCAGCGACAAGGCCGTCGCCGTCGTCTGTGGCTTGGGCACCTTCGGGTATACTGCCGCTCTCGAGTTTGCGGCCAGGCACTTGAAGATCAAGGAGGAGTCTAGGTTGTAATGATAGTTGGTGCCACGAGTGCAGACTAGCGAAATAAAACCAAGTAAAATCCTTACTGAGCCACTGTCGGATTTTCCATGGTGTCGTCGTCATCGAGAAAAGAAAGAAAAAAAGTGACAAGAGTGGAATTCACCCACGCCCCTTTCGAGACCACGGAGATGGAGTGTAAGTTTTGAAACACCCTGACATGGCGCCTTGGACTACTCGCTCGGCCATCTTATCTTGATGTTGAGAAACAGTATAAGTAGGAGAGACTAGCAAAGATGGGCAGGTAGCTGAAGGGGGAGACGATGATAATTCAACATGAAGCAAGTAAAAACGCCAGAAGTAATATTAAAGTAACACCCAGACGCTACATGACAGTTTAGAATAAACCCCAAGAACATCCCCCTTACAGCGATGCAGATATCATTGTCGATGGCGCACATTCCAATCCCAAATCCTCCACCAGCTTATTCCACGAGACGGCCCCCCTCCAGGCCAGCTCCTCGGGAACCTCAGCGCCGTCGTCCGACATGCGCCGGTTAAAGAGCTCCAGGCTAACCCACCCATCAAAGCCAAGGCCGTGGAAGAAGGCTGAGGCGATCTCTCTTACAGGCAGGTAGCCACCCTTCTCGCCGTAGAAGAGCCGACAATTCCTCGACCAGCTCATCCTAGCTGGCTGCTCTGCGTCGTAGAAGGCGTGGCCTTTGACCAGCGGCTGGCGCAGCCGCTCACCATCGACAACCTGGACGTAAAAGACCTTGCTCACATCGACCCGGGCCACCAGCCGCTCCATCGACTTCCGCACCTCTTCCTCGGCACCAGGCACGCGCCCTGTTGGCGAGGCTGGGTCGGCGTAAATGCGCGCGGCGATGTTGAAGGTGTCGAGGCACATGCCAAAGTTGGGGCGGTCCACCTTCTGCACCACCTCCCAGCATCGCTCCCAGACATCCACACGGGTAGCCCATGAGAGGCTCTCGTAAGCAAACCGGATAGGGGGCGACTGCTGAAGCCCAATGTCTGCGACCTGGCAGAGGTCGGCGACGATCAGGTCTAGGTTGTCGGTAACCTGCTCTGCGGGAAGGAAGTTTGAGGGGATTTGGATTATGTCTGTACCAAGCACCTGGGCAAGCTTGATCCAGAGGGCCAGCCTCTTGAGGTACCTTTGGTGCTCGTTACGGTCGACTAGGCCATCGTAATTCAGGAAGGGCTGGAGGCAGACGACTTCCAGGCCACGGGAGTCGCACATGTGACGGATGTTATGGGCAGCGGCAAGTTGAGCTGCTGCCGAGGGTTGTGCCGATGAGCCATCAGGGGACAAGCTCTTGGCAAGGTCGGCAAGGTCCTCGTAGAAGAGCTCGATGCCTTTGTAGCCATACTTCTGTGCCATGTCCAGCTTGTGGCTCAGAGAATGACCAGCATAGCACCGGCCCAGGGACATGGAGCTGATTGCCAACCTGCAAGGCATCTTTGACGGGCGCTTTGTGAATTCGGGGGTTATAGGAGAAGGAGACCGTGACCAAGGAAGCATATATCCCGGTAGAAGCGGAACCGAGACAGGAGAGACAGACGAGAAGCCTGTCCGAATGGCGCAGTAAGTTGTGGAATTGATCCCAGGGGCTGTGGACGGAGACAGGAACAAGGTAGGACGTAAAATGGTGATACCCAGGGGAGTAGGTTCGAGTGAGAGAAGATGACGATGATGATGACCAAGGGCTTCCAGGCTGGTCGGCAGCTAGGATACCTACTTAACAGTTTTACTGCAAGAAACTGATGTAGGCAAACCTATGAAATGAGTAATCCCTCCCGTGTTGATCTGGTTGTCAATATTGCCTAACGTATCAAGCCAGTGGCAAACAACATTCAAGCGAACTAGAGAGACGGACATCAAGCCGTCCAAGGCCGAGATAATTAACCGACTTGTTGGTCGGAAAACCCAGGTAAAAGTATCTTCCCTTGGTCAAGACTTGAATCCACCCAATCTTGGATATCTGGGTATCCGGATTGGGGCCTGGGCCTGGGAATGGTCACGCAAAGCACTTGAGAGGACAGCGGAAGAAGGCGCGACCCATGGCGCCGAAGGTAAGCGGATACGTAATATGCCTAATTAAGCAACGTCCGGCTTAGCGAGTAAGGCTCATCCTGGACTTACGGGTACCTCCTGCCTGCCCGGATTTGAAGTGTACGGAATACGTTACCTCCATTGTGAGGGATTGTGGATGGAAATGGTGCACTGTGGTATGTACACTAGCCCGGTTGATGTCATTGTGGAGTGCGGGGGTGAATGTTTAACCACCGCCCAACCATCCGAGCGACGGGAGTTAGCATGCCTTCCGCAAAGGTCCGTAGATCTCCCCCTATCAGAAAGGGGGGAAAGAAGAAAAATTGTGGCCAAACTACCTGTAAAAATGCACTTCCGCCTCAGCACTTGAACCCCTAGAGGTATTGGAGGATGCTCCCCTCAAAAATGAAGCAGGGAAATTGCGCCTAAGAGAAGGTGATTTGTAGAGACTCCATCCAGTAAAGGTGCTTTCGGCTATCTGGTCCGCATCTGCAGCTATCCTTCCCCATCCGAGAAAACCGCGTCAGCGGACCGAAATACGGACGGATCACCTCAATAATAAAGGCCGCCGGCCGCAGAGGCTACCCGCCTGATCACCGCTGGACACTCCGAGGCAAACCAACTGACTCCTGCATCTTTACCATCCCTACCGTGCCTTTACTGCTTACCTAGTCAAGAAAAGACAAGGACCGCCTTGAGCACTGAATATTTGCGGCACCCCCTCGCCTCCATACTCTCAGTCCCTCCCTCCCCCGCAGTCAGATATGGCGACAGCCACCACCGTCATGCAAGACGAGATGCCTCTGACGGCTCGCATTGGAGAGCTGGACCGTCACGGCTTCCTCTTCGGCCAGAAGCTCGCCGCCTCCATGTCTCCTTTGCTCCACTCGGTAGTCTATCGGGAGCTTGGTCTGCGGTGGGAACAGATCAGGCTCGACTCAACGGACATGGGCCACTTCTTGAAGCTGATGAAGCACCCCAAATTTTACGGTTGAGTCCTGCCTTTCCCCTCCTATCTCATGGGTTGTTGTTGTTGTTGTTGTTGTTGCTCCATGGGCTCGGGCTCGTGCTGACTGAACTTACACAGGCGCATCAGTCACGATGCCCCACAAGGTCGCCATCATGCAGCACCTGGACGAGCTGACCGACGAATGCCGCGACATTGGCGCATGCAACACCATCTTCATCCGCGACCTGCCCGACGGCCGGCGCCTGTTCTGCGGGACCAACACCGACGTCGTGGGCACGCGCGAGGCGTTCCTGCAGAACGTGTCGCGCCCGGCCGCGGTCTTCGAGGGCAGGCCGGGCCTGGTGGTCGGCGGGGGCGGCGCCGCCCGGTCGGCCGTGTACGCGCTGCGCAAGTGGCTCAAGGCCACCGACATCTACCTGGTCAACCGCGACAAGGCCGAGGTCGACTCCATCATGGCGCAGTGCGCCGAGAGGGGCTACGGCGACGGCCTGGTGCACGTCGAGACGACCGAGCAGGCCGAGGCGCTCGAGGGGCCCGGCGCCGTCGTCGCCTGCGTTCCGGACTTCCCGCCCAGGACGGAGGCGGAGAGGCTGGCCAGGCGGATCACCCGGACGATGCTCCGCAAGGAGCACAAGGGCGCCATGCTGGAAATGTGCTATAACCCGTCCCCCTACACCGAGCTCGGCGCCCTGGCGGAGGCCGAGGGGTGGCAGGTCATCCTCGGTACTGAAGCCCTGGTCTGGCAGGGGATTGAGCAGGTGAGCACAGGCCTTCTTTTTTCTTTTCTTTTCCCCTTGGCTCTGTATATCCTAGCTGGGTTAGCATTGGCTACTACATTCCAGTACTAATAAGATCCAGGACAAGTATTGGACAGGTCGCCAAGCCAGCGAGCTACCAGTCAAGGCGATCCAAGAAGTGATCGCGTCCAAACTTGGGCAAAGACTACGGCTGTAGACTGAGGAGTTGGAGGTTTTGTGGATATTATTAGTATACCATTTATTGGAGTCATTAGTCGACACAGCCGGGACAACAGGCATTTGTATTGCGCAGCTAGTGTGGCTTTTTTTGTCTTGTTACAACTACCATTCTAGTCTAGATGAATAGATGAGATATATACCTAGATCTGGTTGTCGGTGTGTCCACACTGCTCGGCAACTAACAACGAAAAGGAGGCAGAGAGTACTTTTGTGGCATCCGCCGCTAAGAGACTGTATTCTCGGCGTCTCTACGGATGGGCCAAGTCTAGAATGAGGCTTTACGCTTCACGAATCTGCAGCCATCAAGACACAAGCAAAAGAATTTCGTTGGTGATAGCTTGAAATGATATGTAAACCATTGCACTTGGATACCTAATTAAATATCTTAATTGGAACATATAAAGCACCCTTCCAACATCCATAGCCGATCCATAGGGCACATCCACCTAGTGCTATTATTCCGTGGAGCCTGCAAAGCGTCTCTCAGGGGGTCGCAGTCCCCTCAAGCTGGGCGACGTTGGCCTTCTCGTCGGCCTCGAGGTGCGCGCCCGCGGCGTTCTGGCGGAACTCCTCGTCCTCGAGGCGCAGCTGGTCCATGACGATCTTGTTCGCCTTGCGCAGGGGCTTGGTGGCGAAGAGGCGGTCCATGGCCTCGAGCGGGACGGACTTGGTCTCGGGGATGAAGGCGTAGACGAAGACGACGGAGAGGATCATGAGCGACGCGAAGAAGAAGTAGACGCCGTACGACATCTTCAGGAACATCTGGGGCGTGAAGCGGGAGATGATGAAGTTCCAGAACCAGTTGTTGGCCGCGGCCGACGCCTGGCCCAGCGACCGCGTGTTTTGGTCGAACATCTCCGAGTTGACGACCCAGGGCGTGCCGTTCCACGAAGGCGTGTAGAAGGCCGTCCAGAGGTAGAAGAAGAAGATGGCGGCGATACCGCCAGAGTCTAATTTCCCCTCGGACCCTGATTTCCCCTCGGGATTGGCCAGCTTGATGTACGCGCCGATGAACCACATGCAGAGGGAACCGCCGATGGCGCCGATGAACAGCATCCGGCGTCGGCCAACGCGGTCCACGAGGTAGAGCAGCCAGACGACGGTGACGATGGTCTTCACAACGCCGAAGATGCCGGTCGTGAGGAAGCCCGTGTTGGTCCCGGTGATTCCGATGCTCTTGAAGACGGTTGGGCTGTAGTAATTGATGGCGTTGATGCCGGAGCCGTTCTGCCAGAGGAAGAGCATGCCTCCGAGGAAGAATCGCCACTGGATCTTGGGCTGCTTGAGGGAGAGGAATGGCTTCCAGAACCCGGCGCCGACATCCCTCCGGTATCGCTCCAGATCATTGTCGATCTGCGAGACCTCTTCGACAATGTAGATATCGTCGGCCCGGAGGTTCCGCATCCAGCAGAGGTTTTTCATAGCCAGCTCCCGCTTGCCCTTGGAGAAGAGCCATCGGGGTGACTCCCTGATCCATAGGGAGCCGAAGAGCAGCAAACCGGCGGGGATGAGCTGGACGGCGAAGGGGATAAGCCACTGCGACTTGGTCTCGGGCATGGTCGTGTTTACACCGTAGTTGATCCAGAAGCCGACAAGACCACCGATCTGCCACCCCAGCTCGTAGATGCCAACTAGCCGACCACGGATGGCGGGAGGGGACAGCTCCGAGATGTAAATGGGCACCATGTTGGACGCCCCGCCGACGCCGATGCCGGCCAGGACGCGGCCGCCGATGATGGGGCCCATCCCCCTCTCGGCATTCGCGGCCAGCATGATGGAGGCGCCGACGATGAAGACGACGACGAAGATGAGAAGGGACTTCTTGCGGCCGAGAAAGTAGCTGGTGCAGTATGCGAACAGGCTGCCGAAGAAGGCGCCGGCCTGGTAGACCGAAACGATGTTGGCCTGGAGCAGGGCGAGCGCCTCAGGGCTGTAGGACGCGAAGTCGAACTCCTTGGTGAAGGAAGGCAGGGCCAGCGTCGTCCCGATGAATGCAGAGTCGTAGCCGATCATGCACGACGCGAACGAGGCGATGGCCGCACACGCATAAACTCGCCAGTTGTACACGGCCTTCGGCGTCGGCCGATCTTCAACGAGGGCGAGGAGAGTCATCTTTCTGACGACAGTGTCCTATTGGCCAGTGGGTTGTGGTGGTGGTGCAGAAGAAGAAGAAGATGGTACTGCCCCTCCAGCCAGGGGAAAGGTGGGAAGGTGATTTCTGGGGAAGAGAGGACTGGGTTTTATCCCCACAGCCCGGAGGTGATTGTCCCTTGATATATCTTCGGTCCGAAGGACGTTGTACGTGGTACTGCCGCGTCAACAGGGTCAAAAGGCCGAAAAAGGAGAGGGACAGGAGGACGACAGGGACGAGGGCATGAGGATCTGCCAACCCCTTCCACACACGAAGCTCTGTCCTAGCTGCTTCCCCGGACTGGGGCACCCACGTTGCTTGAGTGTTGGTGATAGAAATGGGTTAAGCGTCCTCCGCATGATGAACGTTGAACCGCGCTGCCCCTGCAACACTAACATACGGCATCTCCGGTCGGGTTTGCAAACACGGCAAGTTGGACAATTGAAGCTAATGAGATCCGGGGAAGCCAATTAAAAATTGATCTGCCTTTGTCCCTGCATTCGCCACTGGGTCTCAGGTGCTCCCAGTGCAGAGATTTCCTCATAATGGCACCCGCTGGATGAACACTTTGCCGGTGGTGGGCCAGGTGACCACCTTGACTCGCCCAAGCTTGCGAACCCCCCATTTTCCCTCACGCCAAACCGTCACTGTGGAAGTGGGGGACGGGCCAATCACTGATTCGAGCGGCGAGCCTCAAGACAAAATGACATCACCCTGGTTTGGGCACCATGTTCATTGCAAAGCCATTCCGCCGAGACATTCTGGTGGAAATCACGGGTTTTAATCACCGTATAAGTGGTGCAAATCATCACTTGATTGACCCGACCAGGAAGAACATGTCAGAAGAAAATCTGTGATTAGATCTTGATCTCAGTCTTTGATGACTGCGTTATCTTCTAATTACCCCTGAAAACCACACCAAAAGTAACCCATCTGGATTGCGTATGCCTTCATGGTTCCTGTTCGCCAATGTCATTAAGCCTGGGCTGTAGCTGTGCGAGGTTCGACCGTCCCTGGTCGTCCGGGTAAACACTCAACACCACCCGCCTCATCAGCCTTCGGGGGGCTCGGCGGCCCGTAAACAGCTCGAACTGTTCAAAGCCCTGTTCGGGCAAGAGGTCCAGTCCGTCCATAGTCACCCATCCTCTGTGTGCCTCCCGCCGGACATTCTCTAGGAGCGGCGTATTCAAGGACTTGTATGCGAGCTCGACCACCACACCCCCGGTGGGGCTGTACAGCCACTGCTCGGGCAGCGTAAAATCGGGCGCCGGACTGTCGCCAATACTGTGTGTCGGTATGCACGACACGATCATGGTCGGGTGTCGGAGACCTTGCGGCCACGGCTCCTCCCGGGACCGCAGGATGTGAAACCTGGCGTCCTCGTTAGGTCCGACGCTCAGGAATGGGAAGTCGGACCGCCCGAGCAGTCTGGTGAAGTGGGAAACGAGCTTCTCGGCGTTCGTCAGTGTGCGGTTGTATATCACAATGTTCCTAACGCCAAGCTGGAGCATCGAGTAGACAGCGGCTCTTGCCATGCCACCGGCGCCAACGACGAGGCCGCAGCTGCTCGCCCGCACTGCGTTGGCTGGGGACAGTCCCCGCCGGATGCACGCCCTTATCCCAAGCCAGTCCGTGTTCTCCCCATAGAGAGCCCTGACAGGGCCGGCCCGGTTTCTGTGATTGAAGAGCAGCGCATCGTCCGGTATACTTCCGTCGTCGTTGAGCTGTCGAACCGGGATCAGTGTGTTGACAGCTCCAATAGCGCTAGCGTGTCGGCTCAGTGAATGTGTCAGGGTGATAATCTCGACCTTGAAGGGGAGGCCGACGGACGCGCCCGCGAAGTACGGGTCATTGACCAATTCCCGTAGGCTCCCAATCGAGTTTGCCGAATGTGCCTCGTAATGGTGGGGAATCCCGCATGCCTCTAGCGCCGCGTTGTGCATCGCCGGAGACAAGCTGTAGCCGACATTCGCTCCGAAGACATAGAGCCTCATGGGGTCGAAGATGAAGGATGAGTAGAGCGCTCGAGTGGCTTGTAGGGCGGTTATCGAAGGCCGCGTGGCTGATAAAGCCGCCGTCTTCGGCTCGCTTTCGTTGAGGCCCTCGGGGATGACCGAAGTCAGGATCTGGTTAAAACAGGCCGAGTTCCTCCCCATCGGCCCAGTATTGTACACTATTAGAGGCAGCCGTGGGCCGTCCACCGAGCGCGCCGCAACGCGTATCTGCTCCACGTCGAAGTTGTCCGTCACACCCGACGCTGCTTTGGTCAACCTCGCTAGGTCGCACCCTTCGGCTTGGGCCTTCCGGTAGTATGAGCACCACGACGGGTCACCCCAAGGCGGAGCACCTGCCTCTGATAGCTGCAAGTTCCCGATGAGCTTCGAAGTTCCCTTCATCGACGAAATTTGTGATAGTGTCCCGTCGTCGAGCCTGAGATCAATGGTGACATATTCGGGAGCCAGTCGCAGCCCGTGGTAGACGTAGGAAAGGTATAGCTGTGCCTGCGATTCGTCCCTCAGGGCAGATTCTGGGAACACGACATGGTAGAGAATAGGAATGACAGTGCTTCTCCTGACTTGAGCCACAACCCGGCTTATGTCAGTGGCGCGATGAGGGCTTATGTGGTTCGAGTCGTGCGACAAGTTGCCGAGTCCAGTACTAAGGTCGTCAACGACAATCTCGATGGCGTCTGCACCAGTCTCTAGCTCTTCGATATCGAGGCTGCCTGACTGGAGCACGGAAAGCGGGACTGAACTGGCATAAGTGAAACGGCGCTCTTCGGCGGCGACGCAGGCCAGAGTGAAGGCAGATTCGATGAACGGGATGGCTCCTTCTGGTAGAATCAAGGACAAGAACTTGAGGAATTGCCTCTCGGCCCGCTTAAGCGTCAGGTAGGGCGCTGGGGCTCTTTGGTCTAGTTCAAGCGTCCCTGAAGGCGACTGGGAGCCCCCAGACTTGGCCGCGACTTCTGATATGTTGAAGTACTCGAAATGAGAACATCCTCTGAAGACTGAGCCGCTTGCATCCAGCAGATGGCGGATCTTGGAGTCATCCCAGACTTTGAGGTGTTCCTGGATCGCCTTTGCGTCACGAAGGATGTGTATGACGGGGTTCGTGGTACTCAAGTCCTTGAGCGTAGCCTGGATGCCCCTCTCCGTCCACGAACACACGACGATGGCGTTTCTCCTGTGCCTCACGAGGAGTTCCTGCATGACGCTGGATTGGCGCATGTGGTATTCAGGAGCGCCATATTTTCTCTTATACGCCGGGCTCGACAGGCCCGTTGCCTCGTGGAATACCTTCTCCGAATCCACGACCTTCCGCTTCATGGCGGTAGAGGCGATGACGGCCAGCGTGGATTTTCCGGCTCCCCGGATTCCGGTAAGTACAATAGAAGCATCGTCGTCGAACAGGGCGGGCGAAGCGGGCGAAGCGGGGAGGTTCGAGCGCATGGGAGACGCGGCGGCGGAAGAAGGAGTAGAGAGGTCTAAAAACGTTAGCAAAGGAGTCCCCGTCGAATCGCGACGCGAGAGGTTGGTGACGAAGAGTGACGCTCGCTCTTACCTCTGCCTAATGATCGAGACGCAAAACCTTGCTGCGGCAACCTGGGGTTGCCGTCAAAGGACGACGGCGGTCCAGGGCTCGGGCGTATTCCAGTATTACCTGCATCCCAATCATTCGCAGTCATGGCCGCGAATGACCGCTTCGCGCCCGCAACTACCGAGGCCATCGCAAGCTGGCCACGGCAATCAACGGTTTCTTGTGCTGGGAGTTATCCGCAACTTTCACCAGAGCATGAGTTGTAGAGTCCACCCAGCGGGAGAGTTGTTGGCGAGGAATTGTTACTACAGGGCATTGGGCCAGCCCAGGAATCTGGTCAGCGACCGAAGCTCTTGGGGCGAGTGATATGCTATGCGCGGGGGCAGTGGGGTTCAGGCTCCCGAATGTAGTAGATACACGCCTAATATGCATTGCACGTGCCCCTTATTGAGCAATTTCTCACCAGGATAAGTGTTCTTCCGAGTCGCGCCCAAGGGTTTATTTTTGTATCTGTGACCTACTCTACGTCACCAATGAGGGGCGGGGGTTTTGATTTGATCTTCTCCATACCCCAGATTGTCTGTGCTAAGGCAGTTCCCGGCCAAACGAACAACCGCATCATCAGCCGGCCTCCGATGCAACACTGTTCCCTCGAGTTGAGAAGGCGCAGGCGAGCTACGGAACGCGAACGCGAGTGTCGGTGATTCCCACCAGAACCCCCAGCCGCCGGGACGCGATGTCATCGAAGCGCAAGGCAGTCGACGCCGAGCACACTGGGGAGAGCAGGCCGTCCACCCAAGCTGCCGGGAAGCGCCAGAGGGTTTCCAGGGCTTGCGACCAGTGCCGCATTGCGAGGGAGAAGTGCGACGGCGTCCAGCCTCAATGCTTCCCGTGTGTCTCCCAGGCCCGGCACTGCACCTACCAGGTCAACCCAAAGAAGCGAGGCGTCCAGACGGGCTACATACGCACCCTCGAGCTGGCCCTTGCCTGGGTCTTTGAGAAGGTGCCTGGCTGCGAAGACTCCCTCAACTCCCTCCTCAGCCACGAGGCCGGCCGAGGACAGGTCATGCTGTCGGGCAAGAACCTCAGCGCAACGAACCGCTTGCATAAGAGATGGAGACGGAGCAAGGTACACCAGGTGATAGAAGGTATCCTATCGGGGGATGTCCCATCGCAACCCCGGGCCGACAAGGACTCGCCGTCCGACGAAGCCAGCGATACAGACGGAGAAACAGAGAAAGAGGCTTCTCTTCAGGCGATCAAGTCAGGGAATGCCGACGACTCTCTGGGCTTCTCCCCGCCGTCCCCGGGTAACATTAGCAATAGCCCACTCATCCAGGTCAGCAACCGCTCGCAGAACAGCGACCTGGTTGCGTCAAGGACATCTCCGATGCGACCAATATCCGCCGGCTTGTCTCATGCACCTCCCGGTACGTCCTCCCGTTACGCCCAGCAGCTGAAGCTGCCTTCGAACCACTGGCGATTACTGGACATCTACTTTTCATACACCCATTGCTGGCTACCAATCCTCAAGAGGCAGGAAATTTTCCAGACTTCATACCTCTACCCGTCCGTTGGCGCCCTCGCCCTTGATCCTACGTCGTCTGCATCAGCTGCCCATGCTGAACTTTGGAGCGCCTTGGCACTGGCATCTTTCCAAGATGCCACGAGTTCCAAGCTCTCCCCGTCTCCGAACGAATCAGGCCAGTCAGAACTCCTATCCCCGACCCAGATCTACGACATAGCTCGGAAGCTCATCCCGTCGGAAGAAGGGCCCTTCCACGTCCAGCATGCGCGAGCACTGCTCCTACTAAGCCTGATCAACCTTGGTCGAGAGAATCTCAGGTCGGCATGGATACTTGTGGGGCTCGCTATCCGCATATTTCTCGATGTCGGCATTCACGACTGGTCCGTCCTCGGCCAGCTTGAGCAACAATTCCGCTCGGTCTTTATCGCTTGTTTTGTCTTGGACACTATTCTCTCCGAGAGGCTTGATAGGCCTCCACATCTCAGGGTCGAGGACATGATGCACGCCCATCCCGTATCCGAGAATGACCTCGACGAATGGCAACCATGGATGCCCTGTGAATCATTCGGTCAGAGCGCCAGCATATCCCGCCAGTCACGCAGTCCAGCATACTGCATGAGCACCTTCAACCAACTGTATGGCATCGTGAAGTCCGTCAGTAGAGAGCTGATGGCGAGGCACGGAAAGAGGGACACCAGCCCGAAAACGAGCCAGATGCCTTATTTGCACCAGGCCATCAGTAGCCGTGCGCCGTTTGGCGCATTTGTCCTCTCGCCGGAGCCGTCTTCGGCCACCATTCCGTCGCCTTACTTAGTCAGAGTGTTTTTTCTCTGGGCCGGCATGGTGCTTGATGAGGACACACCCAGCATTCATCTGACCATGGACGTCCTCGAAGAGTACCATCACCAATTCGGCATTTGCGCCGCACCCCCGTTCTTTGCTACTTGCCTTTCATCACTGGCCAACCATCGCAACTTCAACATCCTGTCCGAAGCGGAGAGGACGCGGTTCGCTTCCCTCAGAAACAGTTTCCTGTCCGTATGGAGTTGTCATAGCGTCGACGGTGACGGTAACCGTGATTTCCAAGATCGCGGCTACTCCCTCAGCCATCTTCCTCACCCTGCCCCCTACCCACATTCCGATTCGCACCAGGCCGCCCGCCAGCCTGCTGGTGCATCAGCCTATCTCTCTGCCCCCACCCCTCCATCATTCTATAGCAACGCAGCGGCTGTGCCAGTTCAGCAACTTGCCTCTGCCGCCCATGCATACCCGCCTCTCGGGACCCCATACGCCTTTCCCACCCCGCAGGGGGGCAAACCACTTCTCAGCCCGGCGACGACCGCGCCGACGCACGAAAGCGTCAACAACGACGTGGACGGGTCGGCACTAACCAGTATCTCCGCGGTCGGGCAGTCGCACCGCCAGCAGCAAATATCCATACGTCCCGGGTTCGCCGGACCATCCCTAGACTACGACACATTACTCGACGACCTCGCTTCCATCGACTACGTTGACCGTGTTGATACGGACCCACACTTTATGGTAAACTTGGGGTTTGCCCCTGGCTGTGGCGATCTCGCCGAGATCTTGTCCCGCGACTTTGGCACTTTGTGATAGCGACCATTTACTGCAATTCCATGTTGACGGTCTTCCGAATTGTTCATCCCATATATACCACGAGCAATGAGCATACAAACCTCATGAGCATACTTCTCAGTTAGCTAGTCCAAGCTCAATAACAACGGACATTGAATCACGACCGTCAACAGTAGACCATGCCTATGCATGAGTTCTCCAGTGGGTATAGTCGTGCGTGCTAGATTACTGCCTTGGTCTATTATTTATGCAGCAGCAATGATTGAGTTCTGGGAGTCGGGCGTGTTGCCAGGGGTTTCCCCTAGGAAAAGGGGGTTCCGAGCCATTCTTTGACTACGGCCTAGGGTTATTAGCATATTTTGTAAAGTTGACAAGAAGCTAGGTAATCAATGGCACTGTCGCTTAGGCCATGCTAGATGGACATTTGTGACAAACTTTGGATGTTGAGCCTGGAAACCAGGATTGTGGCTAATTGCTTCAGGCAATATCCTCCGCGTGTATCAAGAGAGAGCATTTTCCATGACAAGTGCACCATCTGACTGAATATTGTATAGTTATTGCAACAGCTAATAAGTGTCTAAATGACGGACAAGCGTGCCTTCGTGCGACGCATCAATGGTATAGGGCAGAAGAAGGCGAAGGAGTCCTCGGCAAATCCTGTATAGTTGAGCTGTTCGGTTAGGAAGAGGCACGAGAGAATACAGCAATGCCAAAATGGGAAGCCACTGCCTTCCGTGACGGCTGACGTTCCCCTCTCGGAGCGACAAGCGGGGCATCTTCCTCTGCGGCGAATGCCACTCTCAGTCTGTCACGTTTACGTATTCTCCGAGGCGATGACTGTTTCCAACGAACAGGTATAAAGACGTGGTTGACCAGCGGCGATCACACGACGTTATGGCTACAAGTCCTCGCCCAAAGCCTGACCGCCGACGGCAGGTCTCACCTGATCTCGCGCTCCAGCATGCCAATCAAGAACCCGGGCCTGCACACGAGCCCATCGAGCTGGGGTGCCGACTCGCTGTCATTCTGGCTTCCGGGGCGGCTGGGTCGCACTGGAGGCGGGGTCCTTCCCCACTGGCGGCACGGGCGGGCGGCGGGCGGCGCACGGGCATCGCGAGGGGTTTCCCCGGCCAGAAAGATGTCGCAGGTCCAAGCTCGTCCCCGTCATCCCGACGCTGGCGGCCCCGCTGCTGCGTCGAGCCGGTGCCTGAGGTGGGGGAGGGCGCGCGGGGCGGGCCGCTAGAGCAGCTGTCGCTGCGGATGGGTTGGTGGGGACCGCCGCTAGCAGGCGCAATTGCTGAAAGGGGTGTGTTCATCTCCACGGCCGGCTCGATTCTACTGGGAGATTGTGCTTGATCCTGTGTCCCCGATTTCGGAATGTTCCACAAGGCCTAGCGTTGCAGCTAGATAGGTAACTTGAAAACAAGTCGAGCCTCTGCCGAAGCCGAGGGGTCATCGGCGGGATGCAGGAGCGGGCTGACTACTGCAGTCTGCGGAGGTGTGTGGTGTCGCCGTCTGTGCGGGTGTCCCCTGATCTAGGTATCCATCAGGAGAGTCGCGGGGAGTCGCGACTAGATATGGGACGAGTTCGCTGTTCATTTCCTCGTTCGGCATGTACTGTCCAAAAGCAGCAGAATTTCTTCATCCCTACATGTATCAGACGACACGCACAGACCCGCCCCGCATGAATCATGCCAATGCCCGTCTGATTCCTGGTTCCTGCAGGGGCGAGATGCGTCAGGGAAACCCCTTCGCCTCCAAGTTTTCCATTGACCTTGTAGCACCAAAACCTCTCGGAAGATCGCCAGTGCATCGACTTATCTAAGCTGACATGAGACGGCAGGAGCGTCTCGTGTCGGCGAACTGTTGGACCCCCCTGCAATGACCGTGGCCTGTGCAGCATTACCCCGCCAAGCAGCCATGGAAGCTCAGCGATTTTCGGCTGCCCGCCTTGGCCCTTTTCGTCGATGTTTTTGGTGGTCAAGAGAAGAAGAACAAGAAAAAAATTGATTGTGACCCCTCGCTGAACGCCGTAGGTATCCTGACTTCTAGTCTTACAAACGAGCCCATCTCCTGCAGGCTTCAAAACAAATCGCACATAGGTATACATCCTCATGAAGCGGCTGGGTTCCGCCTCCAGAAACGTGACCGTCCCAAGGCCACTTCCATGTCCGTGTCTGTGTCTCCTTGCCATCCCACGATGTCTTTCTTCGTTTCCCGCAGACGCTGCGAGGTAACCCATCGGCCTTCGTGGAGCTGGACGAATCGCGCTGGCGGTGGTTGACCCTCTCGTTGGATGAGAGCTCGAAGAATCGGGATTGATGCAGCGATGATTGTGATGGCGCCTTCTGCCGTGCCGAAGATGAACAGGTCCACGGTTGGGGCTTTTTGTAACGTCAGCAAATCGGAAAAGAGCTACCAGGTTGCTGAAGACCTGATTCGGTACTCACAGATCTCGGGTTTTCCAATGGCCGAAAGGGTGGCAATCTTCAACAGGGACGTGATGCCGGCACTATGACGGTCAAAAGTCAGCCACCTGGTCTGTCATACGGAAGGAAAGGTGACATATTCCGACTTACAAAACGCCCATGCTCATTGCGAATAGCACGCCAACCTTCTCCTTCTTGTTGATTGCGACATTCCAGATGATCTTCCACGGGAGTAATGCCAACACGATATCCATCGCACCCGAATAAGCTGCCAGCAAGGTTAGTGGTTTTGCCTTGGGGACTCGTTGATCAGTTGCGCACTCACCAGACGTAAAGGTGTTGTACTGTTGAACCATGCTGCTCGTCCAACACGAGCCCTCCACGTTGATATCCCACAGCCTCTGAACCGGCCAGCATTGGATCCACTGGAATGTAGCGTTGAGGCCCAGCACAATGTTGACGGTGATGATGATGAACCAGACAAATTTCTTCACCCAGCCGTTCGAGATGCGCAGCAGAGTCATTGCAAACGACGTCTTACTCCACACTGTCGCCAGGACCGAGACAAACCCCGCCGCGTACGAGTATATGACCACCAGCGTAAAGTTGTCCGGCAGGATGTCGCCATTGGCCTTGCCGAGCCCGAGACTGACGCAGACCGACTGCAGCGACGCCGAGACAGCGAGAGCAACCTGGGGTAAGGGGACGACTGGTCAGTCACACGCCATCTCTCGGTCGACCTCACCGTCCGTCCCCAACACGGCAACTCGGGGAGGAACTCACCCAGCTCAAAACCAGGACGTAGTCGTCCCACCACAGTGATCGACACCTCCAATGTTTGCAATACAGCCGCAAACCCAGGAACAACGCCGAGAGAGTCGTCAAGATCCATATCGTGCGGTTCAGATGCGGGCCGTAGTCTTCCTCCGTCGGTAGTAGGGCCGGTTCGGAGCACCCTTCCAAGGTGGCGGAATCCATGGTGTGTGAAATAACCAGGGAGGTTGACTCCCGGGAAAAGAGGGGGGAGAAAGAACAAAAACGGGGTGGGGGATAATAAAACGAATGTAAAGAAGGAAAAAACAATAGAAGGAGATCCAAAAACACAATCGACTTCCGGGCAGAGGGAACAGCGGGAGTGAGGCATCTCATATCTCCTGTCTCGGCCGTCCCAAGGTCCGTGCCGCAAGTCGGGGTAGAGTGGGTCTCAACGTCGATCCGACAGGTTATTTATCGGGCCCCCGGTAGCGAATACTTGGGATCGTCTCAGGCTTTGCATGAGTCGCAACCCCATGCCCCTGATTCCCTCCCCAACGAAGGCGTCGTTTTGCCACTAGACCGTCCCATTGGGCGCACTGCTGAGGCGTTGAAGCTCGGTCCCTCAACCCACGGACCCCTACGCAGATCAGCGAAGCGCGGGAACATGGAATCGGCCGAATCTTCTTCGGTGAGCTTGACTACCAGTCTTGGGGAAAGTATAATATCACTCCTCCAGGAAAACCCGCCGCCCTTCCCGGGCCCCACTCTTCCCGCTGCTCGGCTGCGGCTACCCAAGTCGCACCATCCACCCTGTCTGTCTCCCTGGAGAGCTTCAGCTGCCTTACCAGGTGAGTCTGTGCATATCTGGCACGGCCGGTGATCAATTAGCACGTTGAGGAAAGGAAACGATTGCGGTGTGATTCTCAATCGTGGGGATGTATGTAATGATGTGGAGTGATTGCCTCCGCTTGGACCGCCCCGTTTTGTTCCCTTCTTCAGTACTCGAGCCTCCCAACCTCCCAATGTTTCTATCAAGAGAAGCCTCCTCGGCTTTCTATTTTCTACGGCCTAGCCCGGTGGGGGAGATGCCCACGGGCGACCAAAGCCATGAGCGTTGAAGGGATTTCAGATTTGGGCGGGAGACTGGCCGTAAATTGTTGTACCGCAGTGCTGCCGTGGCCCTCTTGAGATGCCGTTGTTGGGAGACATTGGCAGAGCTGGGAGATGAAACGATCACGATCGACACACAACTAGATATCTTAACATCACCTCTGGAAGCAACCTAATAGCAATATATATTGATGGCAATTATGGCGGCGTAATTAGCAGATAATTGACACCACTATCAACTATAAAGTGACAAGCCACGGGCTGGCAAGGTACCGGTCCCTCAAATTGACGCCTTCAGGATTCTGAAAGCATCCTCCCGAGTGCCGCGGTATCTCTCCTCCGCAGTCTTCCAGTTGATGACGTTCCAGATATTCTCAACATACGCTGCTTTGCCGTTGAGATACTAATTAGTCCGCATGTCAGCACGCCGAACAAACAAACTTCAAGCCCGCATAACCACAACATCAGCAGCTCTCTCACCTGGAGATAGTAAGCATGTTCCCACATGTCGATGCCGAGAATGGGAACCTCGCCCCCAACGACAGGGTCCTGGTCCTTTGTCGTGACGATGCGCAGCCGCCCCGTCCCCTCCTCCTTGACCAGCCACCCCCAGCCGCTCCCCTGGATGCCCAGCAGCGCGGCCGAGAAGACGTCCCTGAAACCCCCGAGGCTGCCCCAGGTGGCCTCGATGTCGGCGACGAGGGACGCGGCGGCGGCGCGCGGGTCCGCGGCGTCGGGGCTGGCCGCGGGGGCGAGGTTCTGCCAGAACAGCGAGTGGTTGATGTGGCCGCCGCCGTTGAACCGCATGGCCGGCTGCAGCGCCACCTGCGCGGCGATGTCGTTCGCCTGCACCGCTGCCGCGTGGGCCTGCACTGCCTTGTTCAGGTTGGTCACGTATGCTTGGTGGTGCTTGCTGTGGTGCAGCTCCATGATTTGCTTCGAGATGTTGGGCTCGAGAGCCTGCCGCCTGCCGGTCAGCGGGGGTGCTACCTGCCTGGGGGATACCCGGATTAGCAGGGTCATGGCGGGATGGACTCACGTCGTAGGGGTACGGCAGGTCCGGGAGGGAGTAGGTAGATGCGGACATGGTGTAGGCGCTTTTGTGGTGTGTGTTGACGGTGTAATGCGGCTCGCGACAGATGATTGAGGAGGTATAAGCGAGGGAAAGATCTCAGAAGGCGTTATTTGGGAGGGGTTCAGATTGGACTAGCAGGGCGGTGAGTAGATGGTACATCGGAACTGGGCAGTGGAAACCTACCTACCTATCTTTCCCGGCTTGGACGGGAGTGATCCGTTTGTGATTCGGATCAATCCAGTTCCTATTGTGACACTTCCCAACCCATCCGGAGGAACGTCGACAAACTAGGGTGAAGTGGAAATGCACATTCAGAGCCGTCATTTCAGACATATGAAATCAAGTAGCCTCTAGCATGCAAGAGAGACTCCAAGGTACCATGGCATAATTATTGACCAGTCGTTCCGGCCCGTTCGGGTGGAAGCAATCCCCCTCAAACCTGCTCATTCCGCCTCGGCGAGGTTTTCTCCACCACGAAACCGGGCAGCCTGTCAGGTAGGTAGGTACCTTGATGGGCAGCACCAGCACCAATGACTAGCACCTTGATGGTTGGATAAAGGAAAATAAAACCGACAAAAACCGCGTGCGTCCAAGCTGCCGATAATTATCGCCTCCGGTGCTCTTCTGCCTTCAATAGCTGAGGCCTGCCCGGGCACGCCATCGACGCCGTGACACTCGATAGTCAAGCCCTTCAACACGTGTGGAGATTCATGATGACCAGAATATTCAAGATCCAACGCGTTTACAGGGCTCTTGCAGTCCAGAACTCAAACATACACGATGCTTCATTTCGAACCGATGGGGCCAGTGGCCCGACGGAGAAATGTGGCGGGTTTTCAAACAAAGGAAGCCGCAAACAGCCACATTGCCACCCATACGCGTCCAATGTGCAGAGCCGTGCCAGTACGGCGGATCACTTTGTCAATATCCGGTGGGTAGCCGTTTTGAACGATGACACCGGCTGACATGCGTCACGAGGAACGGGAGGCTTCCTTGCAGCATAGGATCTGACCGCCAACTATGGGTTGAAAGACTAAGAACTTGGGTGAACGGTTGCTAGCATATGATATTAAAAATCTAGACGCATCCGGGCCCGAACGCCGCGAAATTGGCTGAGACGGGTGTGGAGATCAAGCCCGGGCCTGACAAGTGCTGCCCCGGGGTCCCCGGGTTCCTGCTTTTCGCCCTCCCCAAACGGGGCCGCCATACCACGCCAGAGGGCCCTGTTTTATCAAGCGTCACTGAAGGTCAGCTCCCGCTGACATTGCCGATCATTCACTATGGATGGGCGAGGCCGGGTGAAGGGAAGCTGCATCCAGGAGGCATGTGTTGTTGGTGGGGGCAACGAAACGAATGGCCCCAGGAAGGCAGGGGATGGCCGGAAACGTGCATGTGCCTTGGTTTCGCCGGTTACCTAATGGGAGCTATCATTTAGTTGCCTATTGCGGAGAACTTCGTCGCGTGCATGTAAGGCCGGCCAGGATACCAGAGTCTCTGTGGTTGGTGGGCGATGTCACGAGCCGATCGCCAGGCGGTGCCAAGCTAATAAGATGCAATGGGTTTCGTTATCTTTCAGCCCTATGCAGTTGGACCAATCAACTGGATTCCTCGCGGGGCCTTACGCTCTCCCGTGCCCGCGTTCTATTTTGTGGCTGGCAGGACTGTATCAAACGGAAACCTAGCACGGGGTTTCTGGGAGAAAGAAAAGATAGAGGAACGCCTAGGTACCGATCCATGAGGCAGGGACCTCTGCCAACGGGATCAGGCTGGGCTTATACGAGACAGGTGGCTAGGTAATGCGTCCGGAAACTAGCAGTGCGTTTTTGTTCAGATGCAGTACACAGTGTGGGAGATCCCTTCCTCGTTCGTGGATCTTGTTCCGCCTCGCCAAACGGCACCGCTCACCGCTACTGCCTGGCTGCTGTCGTCCGAGTCGGAGGAGAGAGATGCCGGGGGGCTCCGGGGCTGTTTCGGGGGGTTGGGGGGAACGCCCTGGCCGCGAAGAAAGGGGGAAAAAGGTTAGGTGGACTTGGCTGTTTGGAGGAGCGAATTTCGGTGTCTGTGTCATTGGCAATCTGGAATTGGGGCTCCCCCCCCCCGGACGTGGCGGTTTCGGGGCGGGAGAGATGGCATCGGGACCAGGTCAGCATGGGCGAGACCGACACAACGGATTGATTGATGGATACCTGTTAGCGGTATGATGTGGCTGTCGATGGGATGGAGGCAAGCTGACACCATTGTTCTGAGTCTGGATAGATGTGGCTGGAGGTGCAATATCCTCACTAGGCTCCCACAAATCAAAAGCCACTGCATTTGGACAACCTCGTCCGCAGCACCATCGCATTTCTGTCAAGCTCGCCCGCAGCAGTCATGTACTTGGAGGCAGTCACTCAGGTCCATTTTTGTAATAATAAAACACATGACACAATCTGTTGCTACTTTGCCCAACGTGCACACTCTTAAGGAAAACAATGACGGAATCGCAAGCACCCACATCACATCACCCCTACCTAGCCCGTCGCCTCCTCGTCGGTGTCCGGATCCACCAACAAGTCGTCCGAAATTTCCATGAACCAACCGACACAAACCGCCATAGGGGCAAAAGTCCACGATTCATCGTAACCAAATCCTTCTCCTTGTATATCGCCCGAGAATCGCAGCAGGGGGCGCGTGATGAGGTCGACGGGGAGGCCGTCCAGCTTTAAATGGGCTTGCGCCGAAGTTCCCAAGCTATTTTTCATGATGGAGTCCACCCCCGCTGGTTCGTATGGGAAGGACGACAGCTGCTTTGTATCCGGGTGGTGGAACACGGGGGCAAACTTGACTAGAGTGCCCTGGAATTCCATGTCGATGTGTGCGACCCTTTCTCCGGTCTTTTGGAGAACTGCTTCGAATAATGGTTCGCTTTCTTTGTCCACGAAGGGGCCAATCTCGTGTCTGACAAGTTGGGCGACGTATTGGGGATCAATGCGCCTTCCATAACCCTGGATAATCTTCCTCCTGTCAAGCTCTTGAATGGCTGATATAGTGATGCGTCGCCAAGCATGGAATTTGAGAGTCCACTCATCATCCTTTTCGGCGTCCACCTCTGGCTGGCGAGATTAGTTCCCCATTGCACAAGCAGAATGATTTGTAAGAATCTCACCTTGCAGAAGGTCGTGGAGGAGGCCGTGCGCCTGCCAATGGGGGGCTGCCCACTTGATGTCGGCGCTCCTTCGTGAAAAGATATTGTCATCAAGAATGTGCCAGATCCATGCCATGAAGAGCTGCTGTGCCCCCATGTCAGATCCCCAGAATTCTTCAGCCTTGGGTGTCCAACTTCTCAGTTTCTTCTGGATATCAGGGCAGAGGCTGTCCCAAACTTGGGTCGTCTTCGGGATTTGCACGAGGCTCGAGATACAACCCGAAAGGCGTTCCCAGGTCTTTTCCATCTTCAAATGTGGTTCCCAATCACCGTACTGCCTCCACACGACAGTCCTCGAGAAGTATTCTTTCCTAGCCTTCTCCGCCTCCTCTTGAGTGCGAGGCGCTTGCTGCTCAAGACGTTGGTGATAACGAGCGTTCTCGTCCCTCAAGTAGGCACATTCTGCCTTCTTGGCTGTAAGCTCAGCCTCAGCGTCTGCCAACTTCTCTCTCTCGGCAAGTACTTGCTTCACCAGCTGAGTGATAGCCAAATGCAACTTGTCATCCTTGTTTTCGGCGAAATGGCCAAGGACAGTACTGCCAAGCGGAAGGACAGATTCAGCAACTTGCTCTTCATCCCCAGTGGCCTGACTGGGTTGATCTGTGCCTCGAATCCCAGGAGCGTCACTGGTAGAGGAGGTACGAGCGAGACGCTCGGGAGATTTGGGGCTTCTTTGAGCTTGGTCGGCATTGCGGCGTTTGATACCCTTGAGAGGAGTGGAGTTGGGAGGCATGGTAGGTAGACGTTCGTCAAGGAGAATATTGTGCAAGTATGAGAAGGGGCAAGGGGCAAGGGGCAAGGGGCAAGGGGCAAGGGGCAAGGGGCAAGGGGCAAGGGGCAAGGGGCAAGGGGCAAGGGGCAAGGGGCAAGGGCGCCGAATCAGCCTTCCTGGGAGTCCAAGAGGGAGGAGGGATGTGGTGGAGAGAGGACGAAGTGCATTGGGGCCAGATGCAAGGGCACGTCCCCCATAAAATACAAACTCAGGAGCCAAGGAACACAGGACAAGGTGTTGGTCCCAACATAAACAGGAAACCGACGGAAGCGGAACTGCCACAGGTACAAGGCTGCTGACGGGCTACAGGGTACAGGGTCTTTGCAAATTCAAGCTGCGGGAACATGGAATATCACCCGAGCAAGGGTGTACGGAAGCAGCGGTGTTAGAACAGAGAGGTATTGGAGGTGCATCAGCCAGTGGAATGTACGAGATAACTTATCACAAGGATATTCAGAAGTGCATTCAGCAGTGGGGGAAGCTAGGCAGTTGAGTGAGGCATTCGGGTGAGTCTACTGACAAAGAATGGGGGGCAAATGACCACTGCTCCAGGCTATCGGAAATGGTACAAACTTGGGCTGCCGCCATCAGCTCTTTGTGGCTGGGCTTCACGAGCGAGCAGCCTGGAGCACGCCACTTTCTCGGCTCTTGACCTGTTTTTATTTTCCCACTTTATCTTTAAGCTAAAAAGGAAACAGGGCAGAGAGGGGGAGACAAGAGAAGTCAATTGAGCAGTGTGTGCGGTTTGGTGCGAGATCCGCCATCCGAATCTGTTTCGGGAACAGGGCAGTGTCGGGAAGTCATTTCATTGGGTCTAGACGGGAAGACTGGTAGAGTCGTTGGCAAGAAGACAAACGGAAGCAAGCGGTCAGCTCTCGTAGTTTGCGAACTGCAGTGGGAAGTGGGCCGCGCAAGTGATGAACTCCAGAGTGGGAAAATGAGGCCTGACTTATGACAGAATCTGCAGGAAATCCATTGGGTGTCCATTGAGAATCCAAGACAGCAGCTGAGTCAATGAGACAACCTGGCTGGCCCTAAGACCACGCCCAGTGTCTGCTATCTACCTTGTCAGATGCGAAGTCTCCTTAAATGCCTGTAAAGCTTCCTCCCTTATATTAAGGACAGCAACCTCGACATTCTGGTTCCAGGAGCATGCTTCTACAGGCACCACCCGCTACCGAGCTGACTTACCTCCACACTTCGCCAACTCTCTAGCCATGTCGCAGGAAAACCATGTCATAGACGCTTATGCGGGAGTTGATGTGGGAACCACGTATGGCCTCTCTTATAAAAAGTTTCCCTTCCATTCGATGTGTGCTAATTTTGCAACGCACAGCTACTCTGGGGTTTCATTCGCCATTTCCCGCGACCCATCTATCCGCATGGTTCTACAGCCCGCTTCGAGTTGGAATCCAAGCTCTCGCGATGTTGAGGTGCCCTCCATCCTCCATTTTTCTCCCGACGGGACGGTCACCTGTGGCGACATCTGTGGCGACGACGCTCGTGATGGCAGCATTTCTGTGGAATTTTTCAAGTTGCACATCCCTCACTGGGAAAACCTGCCAGAAGACGTGCGCCAGTCACCCAAGTTCCAAAAGTCCCTGCAACAAAGTAAGGAGTTGGGCCTGACGGCAGTTGATGCTACTGCTGCCTATCTAAGCCTCCTTTGGAAACCTTGCCTTGAGAGAATCCTCCTGGCTGTCAGCAAGGAGGGTAAACATATGCAATGCCCTTTGCATATTACCATGACGGTGCCCGCCGGTTGGCCGGAAGACGCTCGACACCGTATGAGAGACGCTGTGGTCAGAGCTGGAATGCTCAGTCCTAATAACCAACCGACCTTTACCTTCCTCTCAGAGCCGGAGGCGGCGCTAATCGCCCTGCTGTCTTCGGGCGGAGCCCGCACCGCCCAACCAGAGGTACGTTTACCACGAGACCTACCTCCTCCACAGATTCTCGTTTATTATTTCTCAGACTGGGGCTAATAGCTCAATATAGGAGGGCAATTTGGTTGTTATCTGCGACTGCGGCGGCGGTACCATTGTGAGTCATGTCGCGGTTCGTTGAGTGTCGTGCCTCGGGTGTGCTAACTAAGCCCTCATCAAACAGGATTCCATCGTCTATGAAGTCCTGTCTACCTCCCCGCTGGCTGTTCGGGAGTGTACCTTGGCGGTGTGCCGATTCGGCGGCGCAATGATAATGGACGAGGCTTTTCTCGAGCTCTTGAAGACGAAAGTGAGAGCGAGTTGCCCACCTCAGACGTTTGACAGAATTGCAGAATCCGAATTTGAGCAGTTCGCCGAGAGACACTTGTCTCGGGATCTTAAACACAACTACTCCGGAGGATCTTGGTCCTTTCCCAGCAGCGACGGGCTCCGGTGGGCACGCCTAGTTCAATGATGACGTTTTCCAGGTAATTATGCCCGAGACACTGAGAAACACCATTATCGTCGTGCGCCCAATTGCTTGTCCCCACGTCCTTTACCCCTTGTGCCCCAGAAAGAAGGTGGACGTCGTGATCCCACCTTGTTACTCGATGGCTGACAGACAAAGCGACGAGATTTCTCAAGTTTTCCATCCCGCCATGAGCAACGTGCTTGATCTCATCAGGTCGCAGATTAGTACGACGGAGAAGGTGATGGGGAGGGTCCCGGAGGTGAGACTGCTCAGATGATCCCCATAACTCGTTGCCGCGCTGACATTCATCGACCTGCTGATTAGTATGTCCTCCTTGCTGGTGGGTTTGAAGGCAACTCGTACCTTCAGACGGTGCTCTCGGACAACATCCCCATGCCGACTCGAGTAATCTGGCCCCAAGGCTCCGAAGAGTAGTCAATCAACCATTCACTATGTTTCTACTGCGACGGTTGCACATCTTTTCGGATTACTGACGCCCACCAGATGGACCTCGGTGTGTCGGGGAGCCACGATGCATGCGATTAGAAAGCACTCGCCTCATCCCGGCAACAACATCGTTGAAATCCAATCCCGAATCGCTCGCGCGAGCTACGGCATCCTGAACGAGGTGGATGCCACTGTCACCTGGTTGGTCCAGAAGGTTTGTACCCGACCCCCGGCCCGAGAGTCTCGGACCAATTAATAGCTTATGGACATTGTCGTTCAGGGCCAAAATCTCCCCGCTCACGGGGTTGACCTATCGCCCAATCAATTCTCGAGGGTCCGCACTCCGAACGGCAACATCCTTTCGATCGATATCTACCGCCAGCGCTCGCTTCACGAGCAACCGCACCTGCTGTGTCGAATCAAGTGGGCGATCACCAATGTGCTTTGGACCCTGATCTCCACACTCGACATTGCCAATACTGTGCAGCTCGAGATAACCTGCTCCGCCGAGTCGGCCGATTTCGCAATCTCCTTCAATGGAGAACGCCAGGGGCCGGAAAAGGTCACTGTCGACTATGGGTATTAGGACTCACCGTGGGAAGCCGGAGACGCAAGGATTCGGGTTCCATTTCTTCATCATTTCCACTTGTTCGTCTTTTGCGTTTCGGTCTCTCTTCTCCACTCTCCGCTCGCCGTTCTGCATTTATGTTGTCCAGTATGCGAGGAAATGTCAGCAAGGCAGAGTGTTAAAAGAAAAAAGGAAAAGGACCAAAAAAAAAAAAGGGCAGATAATTGCGGGCTAGTAATCCGTAGTTTGCAAATCATTAGGCAGATCATTTTGGAATGGAATCGGTTCTCCATCATAATAGCTTGGACTGTGTAAACAACTACAAGATGTCCACTCCGGCCGGCTTCCCCAACAACCCCGGCCTCCTAGTCAACCATGCCTTGGATCGCGGCACCTTCCACAAGGGCATCCATCGCAAGCGCCTGCAGGGACCGCATCGCCGACCCCGTGCCCACGTCGATTAGACTGTCGTCGTTCATGAACCCTATGACTTCCCGCACCAAGGATGCATCTTCATCCGTCTGTCGTCAGTCAGAGGCTAATTGCGCGCCCATCAGAGGGGGATGTATATCGCGATCATCCCCGTCCCGATCTTACATTATTGCTCCAGCCGTTCTCGGCATCGTCGTCGATGACCTCGATCACGTCGTCGACGCCGGAATGCCCCGGGCCCATGTCGGGGATCGGCGCCACGCGCGGCGGCCGGTTGGTCGGACGCAGCTCCGGCCTCGTGAGCTTGACGTTTCCCTTGCCGGTCTTGCTGGCGGCCCGTCGTCGCCCGTCTTCCAGCGGCCGGTTGGCCTCGGCGACCCACTCGTCGTCGACGTGGGGACCGGTGACTAAATCAGGGGGGTGGGATGGTCAAGTGTAAATGGTTGGGGAGGGGGAATAAGATGGGGGGGGGGGGGGGGGGGGGGCCAACCCCAAAAACAAAGAAACCCGAACAACAAAATTAACCCCACAGGGGAAAACACCCCGGCGGCACCGGCCCCGGGGCCCGTCTCGGTGGGGGGCCAAGCCCT